TGTTATAAGCATGAACGATACGCCACTTACCAATTCGGTTTCTTAACACAGAAAGTGGGTGTAGAATGCATTTGCTCTCACGCACCATACCCGCTGCGTGCTTTGCACGAAAGAACTCGTCAATGACTTCACACTGTTTTTTGGGTAAAGGCCACTGCCGTGTTACGCAGTATTTGCTTCCAGAAACCAAGTCAATCTCATGACGTACACCCCTATCAGGAGGTAGAACCGACGGTGGATCATAGCACACCACGTCCTGAAATCCCTTAACTAAAGGGTAGTAGGGATCTGAAGGATTCTATAAAAATAGATGATCCACTACGTGCACTTAGTGCCGCTATTGTATTTTCAAGAACTGTTATCGATAACCGAGGATGAGTTCAACTCGAGGTTAGGTCAATTGACCACCATATCGAATAGATCGTCAGCCTTCAAAGCGTGATGAAATTCATCCACAGACATCTCGTCTAGCTCTTAGAAAGCATTTAATGTTGGGAGGGACTCAAGCCGTTGACCAGGGTGTACATCTGGTCACTGACATCACTACGTGATAAAATAGACGCTTTGTGTCTGGCAGCCGCCATCTGGCGACGCTGCCGTCTCATTTACGAGACCGTACCTTTCAAAGTACTTAAATACCATCACCCCCAAGGTCAATAGATGTCTTGACCTTGACCTGCTCTATACGAGAGCTGATGTCATTACCAACATCCAGTGAGTCATCGTCACATGTGACCACTAACAAGGTTTTCGACCTTAGCTTGCTCTATCCGAGAGCCGATGTCATATACAGACATCCAGTGAGTCACTATCTCAGGTGACAGCACTAACAAGGTCATCGACCTTCACTTGCTCTATACGAGAGCCGATGTCATTACCGACATCCAGTGAACCGCTATTACAGCCGATATCACTAACAAGGTCATCGACCTTCACTTGCTCTATACGAGAGCCGATGTCATTACAGACATCTAGTGAATCGCATTTACAGCTACTATCACTAACAAAATCATCGACCTTAACTTGCTCTATACGAGAGCCGATTTCATTACCGACATCCAGTGTCTCAATATTACTATGAGTATCACTCAACGGAGTACGTGCCGCCCCACTAGGTGTCACTGAGCTCTGCTCGACACTATTATTCTTGACATATGGAGTTTATCAACTCAGACACTCCAATGTCCAGCACACTAACTGACTCAGTAAATTTCTCGCGCCAATAGCACTTCTGTTTCCTAGCGAAGGTGGGTTCATGACTCTCCAAAGCTTCGCTAGGAACATTGCGCGTTGCGCCTATTGTTTTAGATCTCCAATCGATCCATGGCTCATGGCGTTCCAGCCAGGCCATACAGAGAATGAGATCATATCTCAAGTCCAAATCTAGTACAAAACAGTGTATAACGCTATTGAAGTCTAAAACTTCACACCTTAGTTCAATGAAGCTTATGGAACGCTGACACGTACACTGTCGCGAGACGAGCGGTTATGCTCTCAACCCCTTGCGCTTCTAGCGCCTCAGCATACAGCTGAATTTTTTCAAGTGAACGACGTCGGACATAATTACTCGACGCCCCTGAGTCAATGAAAACTGACCATGGCTTCTCAAGCCTTTAATGGTTTCCGACACAACCAACAAGCATGGCTTAATTTCATGGAAGCTTTCACGGAGCCATCTGGGGCTATGACCTGTTTACATTCACCTCCTAGAGGTTCAACAGAGCTTAGTTCTTTCCCGTAGGTCGCCCCGATCCTACTGGGAGCTGACGCTTTCCCCTGCCGTGCTCGCCTTTTGGCTAGGAGCAGCGTTACGGCTCTGCCTATTCAGACGTTGCTTTCGCAACAGCTAGGGAGGAGATGCCTAGTGCTTCCGCACATGTAACATCTACGGATGTTACCTTGCTGCTCAGCAGCTTAAAGCTCAGCTTCTTCAGCGTGGCTGAGGTCCATGAGATCCGCACTGTTAGAGGTATTTGATTGATACCATGGCAGACCATAGAGAGCAGATTCGAAATTAAATTCAGCGTTAACCGCTATTCTTACTGCCTCTTCGAAATTCGAAGGCTGGACACGAAACCTTCCGTCCTGTCGACCCCAGTGCGAAGTCCTTCCATAAAAATGGTTACTCGGACTTCCTCTGCCAGAGGGTCCTGCTGCATAGCTGCAATGAGAGTTCTCTACTCTTGGACATAGTCCGACAATTCTTTATCACCCTTTCGGGTACCTAAGAAGCGTGAGCGCGCACGGTAAGCCTAATTAGGCGGTGCAAACACACAGGTTAATTGCCTTTTAAGCATTTACCATGTGGGGAATGCGGCAATTACAGAGACATCGCTCGTGAGAGCCCACTCTCTAGCTCTTCCGCCGAGCTTCGAAATGGCCAAGCCAACTCGTTGCTTATCTCGCACATGCATGGCGGCATCCATTACCATTTCAGCTTCTCGGATCCAGAGGAGAATTTTTTTCAATCCTTCCCCTCACAGATTTCACGTTTAAAAAGTGTGGGCGGGCCTTTGGCTCTCCATCGGGCACAGGTACCGGGATATACTGTGTAAGCGCAGCTGACGCTGCCTGGTCATGGAACTGCCCTAGTAGCGTTGCTTCATAACGCATGAAAGCCTCAAGGTGAGCATTAAGGACCACCGAGCCTTGGGCCAAAAGAACCTCGATTTGATCGGGCCCAACGAACGCAGATAATTTATATAGTGTGAGTCGTTGCGCCTCAAAGAGGTGATTTTGACTCTCCATCCTCACAGAGGGCCAGTCTTAGAGACTCAGGGGTAAGATTGATTACACGTGCTACCAAGTGTAGCGGAGCTACACAGCACTTTATTCAGAGGAAGACTTTTAGGCTAAAAGCCTCTTAGTTCTAGAGAACTAAATAGAGTTGAAACCTTAAAGCCACTTAGTTCTAAGAAACTGATTAACGACCCTGTTCTAAGGATTTAGGAGGGACTTTTAGTCTACAAGCGATAAGCTTAAGGTTCAAAGAACCAAAGCACAGAGTGCAAGGAACAAGCTAGAAGCTTAAAGGTTAAAAGAACCATTGCACGAAGTGCACAAGAGAACAAGTCAGAGAGACTTGCGATCTTAAATTCAAAATGAGAACTGATTTTATTTATGCTTTAAGATTTTATAATTAGTCCTACTCTAAGTACCCTACACTAGATTAATTACTTTAATAGTAATTATAATATGCAGACTTTGCTATTGGACGACGTATCGTCTAAACATCTGTGTATGATGTACTTAGTACAGCGTTATCGATTACGAATCCTAATCGATAAGATACGGTATTACCGAATACCGTATCTTAACGCTTATACTTAATACCTCTCTAAAGAGAAGTATCAATTATACATTATATGCAATGTATAGGGGAGTTCAACCGTAAACTTTCGGAATGATGTTCCAACCGTGTAACCCTGCGCGGTTGTTCAGCACTCGACAATGACGAACAAGGTCCGCATTCCTTTAAGTCAGTACCAAAAGGAAAACCTTAAAGCACCTCGACGAGGTGATTTAGGAGCACCTGCCCATGAAGATCGACGATGCAAATGTGGGAGAAGAATACAATGACGAACTTCCTCCCATTCTAGCGGCCGACGCACAGTACTGATCCAGTCGCTCAAAACCTTCTGGATGCAACAGGCAAATACAGATCTACTTCATAACGGCACTACAGTGAATGAGGGACACGCTTCGGGTGATCCGAACACGCTTCGGGTGATCCGAACACGCTCCGGGTGATCCGAACACGCTCCGGGTGATCCGAACACGCCAGATGGCGCAGATGAGAATTCAGAGCTATGTTACACAAGTGTAAGTAGCACGTATTGCACCGTGAGCCAGAAGCAGTCTTACACAATATTAAAAACCATACCGTCCACAATATCGCAGAAAACGCGATTAAGTATACAACATAAACAATGTGATATCAAAGCGATAGCAATTGTGGCGCAAAAAGTGTACATAGTGACGCTTGCCATTCTACTGAATACTCCCATTGATTTTGCACTATAAAGCAACGAGAGTAATCTTGAACTTCGTAATGCCATTGCAGACGCACTTTGCCTATAGCAATCAAAATTTGAATTCCTTCAGTAAGAGATAAATTGCTGTAATGGGCCACATTGCATATATAGCATTAACAATTACATCTGTAGGCAGATGCTGTGCTCGAATAGCGGGTAACAAGATGGCAATTTATTATTGGATTATTATTGGGGCCTAAAGTCCCTAATCTTATTCTTACGGCATTTCAATGCGTGATTATCCAAAAAGTTGCAATCCGCTCATGTAGTACTACGATGTACATATTACATAGCTCTGCAGTATCTGTATTTTGTGCTACAGTTCAACGATTTCTTCAATACTAGTCGATTGTAAAGTAGCTACTGATTAAACCCGATATCCTGTAACTTCGCACAGTATCATTACATTGAGTAATGTTTAAGAACGTCGTCCAGTGGTTCTTAAAAAATCAAATGCTGCGTAAATTTACCGAATAGCCAGTTATTCAAGAAAATCTTAATCCATCCAACGACTTTTTAATTGCCATCATTTGGTTTAAAGCACATTATACTTTATGGTGATTTGTCTGCTACTGAGTTACGTAAAACTTTGTCAAATGCAGGAGTAGAATGCCTATTTGAAAAACGAATTATATTTTAAGTTGCATTGCCATCTAGTGAAAGCATGACGATAAAAATCGGTCTCCTAAGCATTCATACCAATTATTTCACCAGATTTGGGATAGATAGACAGCATGAAGCGCTTGAATTTAAGAACTGCAACAACAGTATTAGTTAATCTACAACAGACGACATCTTTTATATTGGGTTATCAGTGGTGTATCAATTTCTACGTTAGTGGACTTTATGATGATAAATTGCAAATGAATTACGTCTAATGTGTCTGAAGACGCTGTCTACTTTGACAGAGCTCAACAAAACCGCACATGATCAGCTTCAAACTACAATTGGGTAATTTAATATAGCTCACATAGTAGGTGGAACGATCTCTATACCTGCCAACGTATCCTCGAGTAAAAGTTTGTCTACTTCACTTGTGATTTCAACCAAGTCATCGTTTACAGAGCGCTGTAGTATCTCATGGAACTCATTGCTTCGTTCATCGCTCGAGTTTGAAATGATAAGCTTCATCGGGGCTTGACGAACGCATACCATCACCTCGGTCATTTCTTCGTCTAAAGACGGTTGAAAGCAGACCCATCCTGTCTCGTCGGAATGCATTCCTCGAAAGATTCCCTCTCCTTCCGAATGATTTTTCCAGACATGCACCGTACGATTATCCTCCACAAAACGGCAACCAACATGTCGCTGCAGAACTGAGACTGTCGCGCCACACGTTAGGGTCTGAACCAAACGAAACCTGACAACAATCGTATCGTTTGGATCGGCAACTTCGCTAAACTCCATCCTGTCTTGTTGTCGATGATGAAACTTTGCCAACTTCCAATAAGTCCGTTCCGTGTGACTGTATCTAAATGGTAGTGTAAATTTGTCTCGACGCTCGAAGTACTCGATTTCCCCGTCCGTTTCACGTTTTTTGACCGAAGTATGCAGGCCTTCTGGTATCGAGTTGAAGTCGAATATCTCATCTACAATGGCGTAGCTTTCATGTGCCCTTCTCAGGTGACCACGAAACATGGTATAGTCAAATGGTGGATCTTTACGATGATCTGGTTGCGTCGGAGTCATTGTTGCAGGAGTCTCCGTCTTCTTGTCCCTTGCTAATTGCCCGCACACTTCCTCGATACAGAATGCTTTCGCCTCTACAGCAGCTAAAAGTTGCAGTTGTTCGGCCTCGGATCGTAGCAGCTTTTCACGTTCGTCGATTGCAAAGTCTCTCCAAACCGAATGAAAAACAATCAGATTGTCGGAAAGACTTGTAGGTTTGCCTTGTTTTAGCTCTTCCAGCTGCCGTGACAACTCGTCGACTGTTCTTCGCAGTCCATTGCGCTCGTCTTTGACTTTGAGATGATAAATCCGTTTCCGAATGGCCTCTTTCTCGCGTCGACTTTGGAGTTTCGGTCCCAACACTTCACGTTTAATAATGGGATGGGTCTTAGTTGGAATTGTGTCAGTGTCGAGGTCAGTAAGGAAGCAGGCTGAAACGACCGAGGCAGCGAGAGTGTCCGCCATGACAAGAGAATCACGTCCACCATCGCCAGTCGCACTCGGTGGCATTTGATACATCGGGTTAGGGCCGTTCGTACTAGTGATGTCCTTCTTCTTGACGACGATCGATATGTCTGTTGTCATCTGGTGTGGCACCTAAGAATGTCGACACGTTGTTTCTGGAACCTTGTGCCAATCGATTAGGAACGACGGCACCACCAAATCTTACGACGGATTTAAAAATGGAGAGTCAGAACTAGATCAAGTACAAACCTAATACACTTTATGCCTGTGCTAAGAGGCTTCTGTTCTTTCAAGCTCTAGTATCTGTACAACGGCTGCAATTTACTTGTGATTACACTTCGATTGTGAGAGACGTGCAAGATTAAACACTCAAAGCAAATTTGCATCACATTTTCCAATTGACCCGCACAATATCATGTTTTTCCTTTTAAAGCAGATTGCCAAACTATCTCGTTCTATTTTTATTGCTACAGTATCGATGTCTCGGGAAAGGTATATGTCGTATGTAAGATGCTGGACGTAGATCACCTCTATTTATTGTTTGGCAAACACTTTCATTTAATCTTTTGCGCTATTCATCTGTAATTTGAAGTAAACAATTGGAAAACTCATGAATAACCCTATCGAATGTATTCGCTGTAATTTATAATATTTGAGAAGTTCTCTGGTCGAATAGTGTGGCTTACTGCTCAAAAGAGTACCTGCTGAGCTTTAAGTCTACGTCAACGACTTTTCTGTAACAAAAAATCCATACATTATCAAACAATCAAACGACGCAAAACAACTCAAGTTGGAACAGACTTTCAAGCGGAACTTGATTTTTTCAAAGTGCGATCTCTGAGGAGTTAAAAACTAGCGGATATGAGAAAGGTGACATCGTGAAGAGGTCTTTTTGCATGTTGAACTGTACATTTCACGTCGAGAAGCATGTATCTTCCTTGACGTTATCGAAAGAGTGCATCATGTAATGACGACTCGGTGGATTTGAAAATTTGGAATGAGATAAAACAGACCAGATTTCTTTATAAAACGGACGGTACGATTACACTGTATAGTTTAACCTTAGATAGAATCAAAAACGTTTGACCCATTTGTGTTTTTTAAAGTTGGAATGTGTTTTTTTCAAATTCACCTTGTCATGATTGTCAATAATAACGAACAATGAGCTTCCTGAAGCTCGAGGAGAAAATGATCGCCATGCTACCTTCTTTATATGCGAACAGTAGGAGGAAAACCCAGTCAAGATGTGGACACTTTGAAACACAGTGTTTTAGTACTGTCGTGGCTCAAAAAGCGCAAAAAACAATAAAACCCAACATCGTGGGTAATTTGAAGTGCTATTTCGGCGCGCAGCAGCGTAAGACAGCGAGCTGCGAGTGATGTAGAAAAGAAACTGGTTGTGAAGAATAGATGGAGCTGCAATGCAAACACGGTAGCTGAAACAGAAAACTCGAGAAAAAAGAGAAAGCCCAAATATCAAAGCGAGGACCATGACGATCGCGAGTGGTTTTGGTAAGGTGTGGGTAATTCCCACGACAATAGAAACTGTGTGTATACACAGTAGAGGTGTAACGAACAATTGTCATGATGGTTTTTTCCGTCTGTTAATACGTAAATGTGGGTTTTATAATTTTTTCTAGGTTTAATTCTCATGGACAAGGACTTTGTATTTTTTAGATAAACAAGATGTTGAAGGCTTCAGTCAAGTATGATCGAATGCCAATCATCTCGCAAATCGAAACGGGTGGAAAGAGATTGTGTATCATCAAATTCATCAGGAGGTAGCTTATATCTGAAGCTGACAACAAGTTTGCTGAGTTTAAACAAATGAGTTGTTGAAGAGAATTCGGTTTTTAAGAAACAAAACTTCGAATAGGTTTGTCGCATGGTTTCTAATGCATCTCGGCTGGCCATGTGCAGCTTTTTACATGTTAAAAACTGTCTCTGTGCGTCGCCCATGATTCAGTCTGAAGATGGTGGAGAGGCAGAAGATGCTTGGTGGTTCGTATAGGGCAAGCTGTCCCGCTTACATTAATATTTAGAATGTCAACGTATCAATTGTTGATTTGATACGAAACGTTAAAGAAAAATCAATAAGCAGAAAAACAAGGTTGCTCACTCATAGTACTTGTAACGTTGTCGGCGATCGGAAAAACTTCGCACTGTAAAGTCAAAAAGTCAAGTAGCTTGGTAACCGACCCCGTGCCCTGGCCGCTTTCTGGGCAGCGTAAGCAACAGCAGTATTCGCTAAAATATGAAATACAGCAGGTGTAACATGTTGTATGACGGGTTTATGCGAGGGGGTTGACGAAGCCACTGTGACTCTAAATTTTGGCCAGAAGAAGTCGCAGGGCGACCGCCATTTCAATTGACTGCGCTTCGTTGGCACCATCTTTCAAGGTAAAACACAGCCAATTGGCCACTTGTTAATGCAACACTTTGTTAATTGTATTGTTATCTGGCGTATGTTAAAAATGGTGTTGACGCATCGTTTTTGTGTTTTCAGAAGAATTTTTTTGGCAAACCCTCCCCTGTCGCTTTAAGACACTGCAAATAGATACAAATTAAATCGAAACGGCTGAACATCAAACCAATTTTCATGTGGGTATTTTGCTTACGCTATCAGCAATCACTATCGTTTTGGTCACTTTCTGTTTTTTTGTTGCTTAACTTGCAGACAAATGAGTTTTTCGAAACCCAATTTACCACCAGCATTGCCAGTGGCAATAAAACGAGAAAAAGATGAAACGTTTTCTCTATCTGGTTCCGTATCTATTCCTGGTAGCAATGGCAGCAGCATTTTACGTAAAGACTCTATTGGCTGGGGTGCCGAAGATTTTTTGGGAATGATTTCACACACCCCACCAGCTTTTTCGCCTGGTAGTTTGACTATGCCCATGACCAAAAGAGGGCGTAGTGGCAGCATATCGAGTCGTCTGTTAAGTGCCTCGGATCTAGAAGAACGTGGCTACATTGACAGATACCAAAAGGGTGTACTTAAGGTGAATTTTGTTGACTTTACCAATATTTTTGGTGTCTTTTTGCAATGCAGTGTCTAAACACCTCTTTTTTGGTTATACTTCTGGTAGGACCTTATTATCAGCGGAGACGAAGCACTCCAAAAAGCATTGGAAAAATTTGATGCCGGTGATCCAACTACACTTGAAGCCATGTTGGACAGTGGCGCACTGAATCGAAAATCATCGTCAATTGATCTTTTGGATGATCTGGATCTTGGTTTTCTCAATGTTGGCTCCTTGGGTGATACCCCTAAAGATGAGGTTAGCCGTTTTCTTTTGTTGTTTGTTTTGTTTGTATGAAAATCTCTAATTTGTTTTATATCGTTATGGATACAACTTTTTTGGTTATTTAGTTTCAATCAGGAGCAAGAAACCAATCACTGGATGAATGGGATGAACTTGGTTTCGACTCGTCTTTTGCAGATGTTTCTGCTCGTGATATTTTAGACGGAGAGTTCTATAGCTCTTCGCTTGGCGCTTCTTTGCCCAATTCATTGCCATCCATGGGTCTTGGGATTACTCCACCTGCAGGTTTCAGTTTTGCAGAGGACTTTTTGGAAAACAAAGTTAAAACTGAGCCGGGACGCACAACAGATGGCAAAAATAATGGATCTAGTGGTAAAGCCAGCACGGGTACCACCACAGCAAATACTTCGTCTGCAGCTTCGATCGCCGCAGTCGCATCAAGTCTATCAACATCTCGTCCCATTGGAATTCCAGGAGCTGCTAGTGCTGGCATTGCACGAACATTCGGTGGTATGGACGGGACTAAAGGAAAAGATGGTCAGAAGCAGAATTTTGTGGGTGTTTATTCGCCCGACTCGAGACAAAAACGGATTGAAAAGTTTCTTGACAAGAGACAGAAACGTGTATGGCGGAAAGAGGTCAAGTATGATGTGCGCAAAAATTTTGCCGATTCACGACTGCGAGTAAAGGGCCGTTTTGTGAAAAAAGAGGACGAGCAATTGCTGCGTGAGTTGCTGAGCTTTACGTAAATGGAGCTCACAGCGCTATAAAATGGGTACCTGAAGAATAACGCAGCAAACTGACCGATAAATAATAGGGGTGGCTTACAAAGCAGCGTAACGGTCAGTCTGATTCAGTTAACACGCCTTGTTTATTCATTCCGTCGTATTTTTGGGGATCGGAAGGTCAATTGGCGAATATAGTCGACTTGGTGACTACAATGTTGATATGGTGCGATGCGATTGAGGAGGAGAACAAAGCAGGGCAATAAAACTACTATAGGCTGGATCCATTGGCATAGACGCAATAAGTAAAGAGAATGAGCAAACAAATGGAGACTGGAGCGTTGACAAGGTCAAGAATGAAAAGGAGGTAGGGAGTGTAGTGCGTAAGACGTAGCATATTGGGGACCAGGTCGAGTGATCTTTGGGGTACGTAGGTTTAGATTCTGGTTCGGATCGGATCGGTCTCATGATAAGATATATCATTTAACATTGCTACTGAGTAGTATGTTATTGTCTTGCTAAGGCTTGTGTACGATTATGGTGCAGTGTTGAATATCCATTACTAATCATGGTTATCCGTGAAGCCGTGCGTTACTTTGATACCCTGTAAAATGGCAACGAACGGCGCAGAAACAGCAGCTTTTCTGGCAATTGATTATGGTTTTAACAAGAAAAGGCACAAGTTGGTTTCTATTGTAGCCATGTTGCTAGTCGCAACGTCACGCTTATCGCACGGTTTCGTGTGCACTGCGGCCTACAATAAAATCAGAACAAATCGAAATAGCTTCCTTCGATCCAAAATGTAGATGTCCGTTTCTTATCTAGGCTGACTAGATAACAACGGACATGTACATTGTAGCCGGTGAAACGGGAATCGCTTTTTTATAGAGAAACCGGAATGCGTCACGTGATCTGGCTCAACCATTTCATCCCAGTGTAGCCCATACTTCTATTACTTATATTTTCTTACTTGACATCTACCTCGCAGCAAAACATGTTTACATCCTTACAGTAAAGTCGTAAACTCAATGATAGCGGTGGTCCCGAGAAAAGTGCAAGCAGAGAGCACGATGTAGTGAATATGGAGCCAAAGCAGACAGACAAAACTCTAACGCAAGAAACGCAGTTTTTTGCTTACTTCGTCTTTACATGTGCTCAACAAAGTGGTTTCATGAAGGACCTGCTACACCAAAAAAAGTGGACGTATTCAAGTATAAAAGCATGCAGCATGTGTAAATTGACAGCTTTGTCATTCGGCCGGTCCATTATGAAGAGCATTGCTTGCACGATTCCAGCCTTCAATATATGTATATCTCTCATACTGTCTGTAAGCTTGACCACCCAAACTTCTTATCAATGCAGGTCTCTACTTATGAATGCTAGCATTATTTAAACGAAATCTCCTATGCAGAAATGAATCATAAACCTCGCTTAGACGATCAAGCAGGCATGCCATAAACGCCAAACGGCTAGCTAGAGATCCCCTTTTGACATCGACAGTTGCATACCAGATTAGCTCAACAATTGTTAAATAAGCCTCTCGTCTGTATGGGGGGGTGCCAAACTCAATTAGACGAAGGTGAATACGTCGTGTCAACTTTGATGTCAAATCGACAATAGAAGTAGAAATGGACAGGCAGTATATAAACATGATGTCAATTAGCACCATCCACTTGACAAGCTCGATCTACCCAATGCAGTTATTCCACAACACTTACATTCCAGTAAAATCGTCAAATTTACTTTACTTTTATCCATACTTTATCTGTAGGGCCAAAACTTTAGGCAAGTCCGTGAATTTGACGGACTCGCTTCTATAAGAGTGGCAAGAGCTTCCACCACTCGAAAAGTTTGTAGGCGCCTCATGCGCCGTCGAGTCGGAGACATTTGCTCTGCCAATGCAATTCACCATTGCAATATGAAACACCATGTCTAGTCGATCACACAATGAACGATGACCAGCCGTCGGGCTCATTCGTTCACGTCTGCTCGTTTTTATCGTTGTAGACGTACGCCACTGGGTCCACGAGGTACATGGACGTCACTCACTTGTACACACTCATTGCCTGTCCCACAGACTATGCGGCAGTGACGCCTGTAGGCTTGGGAGTGGCCGTCGTAGCGGCCGACACAGATGACGACTTCATGTGGCCACGCCCCTTGTCGTTCTTGTTGTCCGCAAAAAACTGCGCCGCATAGTCCGTCGTTCCAGAGGATGTGATACCCGAACTCATGCCTTCACTAGCCGACGTGGATGTGGGGAACCCCGTGCTTTGAAAGTTGTGCGCCGCCAGTCCACGCGGAGATAGGAAATCCATCTTCATGCGCTGGTGGCCACTGCCATGAACAGCAGCAGCAGCGGCCATAGCTGCCATGTGGCTTCGAGGCTCATTGGTGGAGTGGTTATGATGATTCTGGTGATGATGGTGGTTGTCAAACACATTTGCACCAATGTTCTCAAGCAAAGGAGACGCACCAAACTGGCCGTTGGAGGAGAAAGCCATGGGCGTGTCAGGGCCCATAAGCTTCATGTAGTCACTCATCATCGTGTCTTCGTTGCCATTAGAGTCTCGGTCCGTGAGTCTCGGGGTCGGGAATAGACCCAGCGAAAGGTAGTTGCTGCCATTGCCACGCGAGACACTGGGCGGTCCGCTCGTCAAGAAGCTGTCAAGACCTGGCGTACGTTGGCCACCAGACATGCTGTTCCCACCAGCATTTGTCATGGCCAAGACACTCGGCAACTGCGAGTTGTCAATCTGGGGAGAAGGCAGACCCATGAGCAGTGAGAACTCGTGACTACGAGGCGTTGGGAAACTGTTGCCCAATGGTGTACGTAGACTGAACTTGGGCATCGTCGTTGGCACGTTAATCTTCAAAGGTAAACCAAATGGATTCGAGGCATTGGACGATTGCTGCTGCATGGGCTGACTCTGTGGCACCTGAATGGACAGCGGATGAGGAGGTGCTGAATGCTGCTGCACATAATGATGAGATTGATGGTTTTGATGCTCATGGATCTGGTGATGATGGAATTGTTCCTGTTTCATCTGCTGCTCACGTTGTTGTTGCTGTCGTTTCTTACTGCTCAGTCGTCCACCCTTGGAAATGTTTAGCTCCGGTACATCTTCACCATGGGCACGTAGCTCCATTGCATGTCGGAAACAAATAGAGCCCGAGTGTTGCGCCGTCTTGTTGCAACCTTCAACACGACAGCCATGACCATGAGAATGACGATTGCACAAACCTCCTGCTCGTGCGTGTTGCATACAGCCATCAACTTTACACCGACGTCCTCCTCCATGACGCACACATTTCTGTCGAGCATGAGCTTGTTTGGAACAGCCTTCAACAATACAAAAGCGTTTGACCACAAACCCGCCATGTTGTAAACAAAAGCCACCACCTCGTGCATGCGCTTCACAATGATCAGCTTGACATTGTTTCTTGCCACCATGACGAACACACAATTTACGAGCATAGACCTGGTTTGTACAATTTTCAACACAACATTGACGTCGATTCTTGTGAAAAGCACATTTACTTGTCCCATCGACGGCCAAATTGTCACAATCATTAAACCGACATTTCTTGGGCTTCCCATCGGCTGTTAAATGACGATTTGGGGATCCATCACCGTCACTACTGGCACTTGGGGAAGCACTTGGACTCGGTGTTTCAATGCTCATTGATTTATGAAATATCGTTGTGGCGGAGGACTTTGATGTAGCAATGATTACAATGCCACGATTCAGACGTAAGGGGGGTGTTGAGTTGCGAGCAACTTGTGGAATGACAACCCTGCGGCCGTAAGCGGCTGTCGTTCCCTCGAGCCCCTACAACAGTCGAAGACAGGCAGTACGGAAAAAGAGGCAGCCCAAAACTCGTAGTAAACCGTTTTCTGAACCAGTAGGTACCCCTCATGTCCCACTTCTTACCGAGAATGATACGCATGCCAAAACGTGTTGAAAAGATGTATCTAATGCACTTATTGTGCCCAATTCGGTCCTGAACAGTAACGGTTTGCGATCTTCCATCGTCAGAAGTATTCTAGGTGACGCATGGAAGCTTACGGTTTGAATGACTTACTTACTCAACACGAGATTAATTTAAAGTGTCTCGCGTAAGATCATGACGTACTATTACTACTACTACTACTACTACTACTACTACTACTACCTTGAATGCCAATGGAATGGGCTTGCTATAACGGAAAACTGGCACCTATCGCAAGAGCTCGTACTATTAGTCTTTGCTCAATAACGACGCTCTCGCTCTATCTTCCCCATCTTCTAATCAGCAAACCAAAGAGTACTTAACTACACTACTCGCTGATATCAAGCGCCTGATCTCTGCTAACACCTATAAACACTTCAATGAAGCTGTGCTTATGTAGTCGATCGAGTGCATCTTTCGTGAGCTGCTCACTTGTCAACTGATGCTCGTAGGAAGAGAACTCCTTGATCAGCTTTCACGTCTATCCAGTGAGCTATCTATGCCACCGCGTAACAAGCAGTAGCGTAAGTGACAACGCCAATGCGACGCGTTTTTCCTAGATAGGTATGCCGCCGGCTCTAAGTTCCCACAAACATATCTCCATACATAAGCTGAGAAATGCACGGCTGCGGAGCAGAGTGAGCCACGCGTTAAACTCTTGAGCATATCTAAATCCCAATACGGGCACGTTTTGGCACAATGCACCTCTGATCGTTCCCCGAGCCACAATCAAACCATCACGTACGTCAGTCGTCCCATCGTATAGGAACGCGTGCGTGCGTGCGTGTGGAGCACGGGGCAGAATAAGTCTTGCCCCGCTTGTGTAGTTTACTTGCCTAAGGTTGACCACGACGTTTCTAGCAGACGTGAGTGTATGGTAATGCCACTCAAAGTCTCTAGTCAGTAGCAATATTGCAGACTCTTAAAAATCTCGATCGCAACTGACGAAAACGGATTCAAGACGTTGTCAGTCCGTGTTCAAATCGTGCCCATTCGAATCAACACTCGCTGGCACTGGATGCATTGCAAAAAGAGGACTGGTCCGGATGTCTCGACAGTGATTAGAACAGGCATGTCTCCCTGACAATTAGTTCCAAACAATGTGCTGTGAAGGTGCATGGGGACGAAAACGAGTTGCATCAATCTGCGATATGTGTGATACCCCTCAGATGATCTGAGCTCCGCATCGATAGCATCCGGATTTGCCAGTTTGCTATCAATAGTAACAACTTGGTATACTTTATCAATAGCACCAAGGCTTTGTCGTTCAAGCCAGAGGCGTATTGTCTCGTCAACAACAACAAGCCATTACCACCTGTCTAGGGGTATGGAAGCTGACGGAGAATTGAAAAGAGGATCGGGCTTTCAAATCAAGACGAATGAGCGGCTCCGATGGAGCGTCGCACGTTTTACGGTGCCGGATATAAAAATACTCATTGCCCACGCGTGTGTGTGGTGGGTGTCACGCTGTTGCTAGTGTCCCTTTCTGTGGCGTACATTCGACGGCGTTAGACGGGCTTTCAAGCCAAAATACTCTCTTGACCAAAATCCAGTCGACCGGATCTGCCAAAATCTCCAGTCTAGCGCTATCTTAGCACGCAGTGACAACCGGGCACAGGCGGGTCTGCAGCAGCCAGGCTTGCATATAAAAAAAAACAAAGTGTCGAATCGGTCGCCCGATTGCACTGCTATCAAGTTGCAACAACATGATAGCACCTCAAGACGGGACTGCTGCTGTATCTTCACTTCGTCTTGGTTTCGCTCTACTACAAAGCCGCCAGGATAATGCCATCACTACCGCTTACCACCTAGCGAACTGCAGCACTGCGTGTCCTTGGCGTCGTGCTGCGTTTCATGTCACGTGGTCCAATTTCCATGACGAACAGATTCGAGGTGACAACGTCTATTCTTAATTTACGGCTCCGAAACAGCTACCACCCTATCGAGCTACAATCTCGATTAGGAGAAGCCATAAAGACACTTGTTCGACCGACTCGTCCGTTTGAAAATATATTGGCCTTGTTAGGAAATGTGAAGCGTCCGACTTGTGCTGTCCTACACGCATTAGGCTGTCCTCATTGCCTTGTTATTCGACTCTTTCGTGGTTCCAAGTGTCTTGATTCTTAGGCCTTTCAGCCTGTTTTGTTGTTCTTAAGTCACTCGCTGTCAAACTCAAAGCGAAAATGAGACGAGGTTTTCTCCATGCGAAAGGGATTCGAAAGCGAACAAGTCTTCCCCCCAATGCCTTATAACTAGATAGCACCTTTCACTCCAATGAGGCTCAATTTATTGAGGTTCGTTGTGCTGGTCGCAGCTCTGCTCCATGCTGTCTCGGGACAAACCAACATAACGCAGTCTGGATGTGAGATTTGTGCAAGCACCGGCAACTGCTCCCAGGCGTATCAAGGCTCCCCAGGCCAATTCTGCGGCAACTGGTTGGACCGCCAGAATGACCGACGTCCATGCTGTTGTCCGGACGGCTCTGTCTGCAGACTATCCAACTATGCTTGCAATTGTGGCTATGCTGGCAGAACGCGTCCTTACATCGCAGGTAATAGAGGTGGTGGTCTGGTATGGTTGTGGTCTTTGCTCGGGTCGCTAGCGTTGTTGCTGTGCTGCTGTGGCAGCTGCTTCATGGCGTCTAAGAAAATGAGAGAGCGACGAAATCAGGACAATGCAATTCCTGTTGCAGAACCCGTAGTGACTCCAATCGCTGGTAACCAGCCATACGGGACCATTTCGGCAGCGTATGCTCGCCAATCATACGAGCCAGGTTATGCCACTGCTACACCAGCTTATGGCAGATATTACGGCCAGAGCAGAGGTCGAGGTGGCATGGGAGCTGGCACCGGTGCAGCACTGGGTGGTACAGCTGGTCTTCTCGGTGGAATGATGCTTGGAGGGGCGCTAGCTGATCGTGGTAACTCCTATGGTGACAGAGGAGGCTATGGCGGCGGTGGGGGAGGCTACGACGGCGGTGGGGGAGGCTACGACGGCGGTGGGGGAGGCTTTGACGGCGGTGGAGGAGATTTTAGCGGAGATTTTTGAATGCAGCACGAAGCAGTATTTCGTGTCAGAAATATCTCTTGACATTTGCTTTGCCACTTGTCATGCATGACGCCAACTTACATTCGCAACAAACTTGTTGACTTTATTTCGCTCGTTCTCTGCTTTGCCTTTCCCTTCCACTAGTCAGTCTAGGTACGCAAGACATTGGTTGGAATTAGCTTCAAGTCGTTGGAGACGACACTATCGCTCAAAACACGGCCACCCAAACTCATACACTTGACTTTAAACCCAACAATTCCCGTCTAGACATGTGTTTTGTCATGTAATGTACCACTGTGGTCGTGTCAATGTGAGACCAGAATTAGAGCTTGATGATGCCTCACTCGTGGCCAATTCTTTCAATGTCTTGTGACAAAAGGGCTATGTCCTGAAATTCCAGACGCATCTTTGGTTTACATACAATGAATACATACAGGATAAGTTGGTTCAGTAGGAGACGGTAGTCAAGTCGTAAGTGACGACATGAGAATCAGGGGATCAATTGTTTTCTATTTGTTCAATCGATTTGACGACGAGGTGGTGACCTCGTTTAGCTGCTATAGCGTGCATTGTAAAGAGCACGCACTATTGCAATGCTTATGGAGTCAACGTACAAGAAGCAGATGGCCATTGGATGCAGCTAGTATCGATCGTTATAGTAGAGCAGCCTTTATGCCGATTCATATGCAACGACAGCATCACCCTCTTACTGCCCTGTTCTTGCCGCCCAATCCATAGCTTGTCGTACATCCCTCTCGTCGAAGCTCATGTAACCATTTGACGATATTGAGCCACCCACAGTCGTTGTGCTGCCCTCGAACCGGTTATCGAGCAACCATTTGACCACCTTCCACTTGGTGCTGCCAGTACCATCGTCTGCTCAATGTCGGGAAGTAAGGACTTGTGCTTGTAGTGTTGTCCAGTGGCATGAAGTCGTCGTAGCAGCCCGATGAGTCTCCCAGCAGCCGCTCTCGCTATGGTCCAGCATTGTGCGTAGTCAATATAGTCACTGATGCTTTGCTCCAGCTTCGTCTGAATCGAGTAGGACGCTTAGATACTCGATAAGGATGGATTTATTAGCTTCATCGCCTCCCAAAGACACTGACTGACTATAAACTAGCAAACCGAGGCAAATATACTAGTTTGAACGCTGATCGTGCTTGTGGTTGCGAGGTTTGTGCTTGAATTGCAAGAACGGCGATGAAGATTGGCTCAGGTCGACATCGCAGTTGTAGGCAAGGAACAGGGAACTGCGCGCTTGCATATATTGCAAAATTTCTAGTTCGAACTTCAAGATGTGTGGCAGCGCTATTCCAACTGCCTGACAATTTTTAAAACGCAGGTGCACGTTGTCACCTAGTTGTTGTGCCTGTTGTTCGTCTCGTCAGGTCGTATTTACAGCTACATGCATTGTTTCCAGGTGCACCAAGTTTCTTCAGGGCAGCATTACAGACTACACAACTTGGACTCTACAAATGTATCTCTATCTGAAGGTGAACGTGCTATCTGCAATAGAGACATTCGCAACAATGTCATCACTTTCCCTGCTGATTGATGGTGTGAATCACGTTGGCCGTTTCACGGTAGTAACATCATTGAATTGGATTTGAAAAGAGTATTTGTACTTTTACGTATTTATTATTGTAGAGACTGATGAGACTAGAGTATCAAGTGAATAGATGGACTGGAGTCTTGCACCCCTTATAGTTAAAGGCAGGTGTCCTCGCGCACGATCGGGAGCATGTAGAGTCGTCTCAGCACCAGTTGCTGGCGCATCTTTTCTGTCTCCCACATATAACGCGTGAAAGGCACGCGGAAGCCGCCGACCAAATCCTTGCTACCTCGATGCTCAGCGATTGACTTGGGGATAGACACGGGTGGTACGATCACGCGCTTCATGACCGCAAAGCGGAAGCGCGTGGCCGGCTTGGAATTATCGCGACGTAGCCGCGACTTGAGATTCATTGCGTCATTGTAGCAACGATCGTAGACTGTAGACTTGACTTGCTTGTGCGGTTGCTCATTGCTGCCGTTGCACTCGAGCTGTGGTTTCTGCCTTCCCGTTAAGCTGCGCTTGTGTTTGCGAGTAGAGCGTCGAGATGATGAAGTGTTCTCTACTGTCACGTCTACGGATTTGTGATGGCGAATGAAGCCAAACAACGTGATGCCTTTGTGCTTTCGGACCACACTGTCCGCCACGCGGCTATGACTTTTGGCAATGGCCATGATCAAGTTACTTTTGGTGCGTTGGAGATGACTTGCGCTCTTTGAGACAAATTGAGGAATGAAACCTTCTTTGCACAAGTCGCCACTGAATTGGGATGCTATAACCTGGTTATATTTCTAGTATTATATTAAAATTTGTAGGTGAGAGCATTGAACGACCCAAACAATAATACTCTATAGGTTGAATTTAAGGAAGCTGTTTCGGTTGATTGGCTATCACGAACGTATGCTCTCACACGTCTAGCTCCAAAGCTATGGCCCTTATATTAATTCCATAGGTAGGAAAGGTAACGTAAGGCTACGAAAGAGGAGAGTTCGCTAGTTAAAAAAAGGGCAGGAGGTCCCGCAATGGGATGGGCTCTGGATTTCGGAACCTGACTTCGTGTTTGTATGCAAAAACCCTAAGCACCGTGACGACAGTTACAAGGCATATCCATATCAAAGAAAAAGAATCCTGTACTGGGGTTTTGTATTGCTTACTCAGCTCAAGACAAAACCTTCATGCGGCCAGCGTATACAGTATACGGCTCCCGTGTATGCAGTTCCATGGAACACTAAGAACTTGATGGGTTCTTTTTCAAATTTACAAGACCTGCGTGCCCCAGTGTATACTGGTACTTTCTTGTAACAAGATCAAGTCTAGAATTTTCTCTACCAAATTACGAAATACTTCTGTCAACCAGTGTAAAACTAGAGACACTTGCAAAACTAGAGACACTTTCTAATCATACTTTTTTTATAAACAAGGTGTTTACAGACTAAGTATTTCAAGATCAGTTTAATAATAATTCTAAAAAAAGGTTATCTTTCTGTATCCGGTCGAACGAAGTAGATGGCATACCAAATTCGCATAAAAATGCTCGCTTCACTGGGTGGGCAGATATTCCTGCCCAGCTTAACTTGCCAGAAAAGATCTCTTTGCGGGGCTTGTTTGATTGTCCCGGTGCAATGCCTATCGTCCTGGCGAGGCCACTTCACACAAGTGCTTCTGCGCATCTCGAAAAGAATCAGTGTTTCTCTAAGAGAGGTAACGTAGGCTAAGAAAGGTATGGAAGGTTTCGCTTACTGAAGAGCTTGTTGAAGATGCGGCTTGTTGAAGATGCGGCTCGCACGTTTGCACAAGGAAGTCCCGCGTGGGATGGGCTCTAAATTTCGGAACTTGACTTCGTGTTTGTATCAAGAAGACGACAGTTACAAGGCATATTTTTCCGCCATCACTTCAGAAGATCTTATCTCCTACTTAATATCAGGCTAAATCCTAAATGCAAGGTATACAGTATTCGTTTTCCGAGGTTCTGGTGCAGCCAACTTATTGGCTTGTTGAAGTTTCATAAAATGGGTATCAATTCGTGCTACCAAATACATTATATCAGATTTAGCACATTGAAAAAGTACCTAAAAATGAAAAGGCATTTTAAAGAGCTGCCAGCTCTGGTCTTAGGTGCGTGTTCCGCTCTTTAACGTGTAAACTGACTGTTTAGCTGCGCATCCGACACAAAGTGAGAACCTCCACCACAACGCCATCCACTACCAGACTTGTACCACTTGAAGCCGGCAGGGCATGGACAAATTTGACGGATTTTTTCCTGTATAGCTTTAGCACGGCGTCGTTCTTCCTCCAATTTTGCTTGTTCACGGGCTCGTTTCAAGGCATTCAAATGAGCAGCGTGGTCCTTTTTGGCACGCTCCAGTTCCTCCCAATCCTCATCTGAAACGCCAGCGTCCCGTTCTTCATTGATCGTGCTTTTATCGTCATCTATTTCTTCTATTTCTGGATCTTCTTCAGCTTCCACCTCAACGACATTTTCGACATCAGCTTCTTTCCACTCAACTTCATCTTCAGTCGAAATTTCTTCAGCTTCTTGCATCTCAATCTGCTCGGATAGATGCTGCAGCATTCCCGGGTGCTGCTCTTGAGTCCTAAATATCGGATTATCGCTTGGCATAGACGACTGGGATAGCACTTGTCCATCCGGCGGACGACGAGCTGCAAGAATTCCTTCTCCTGCCATTTGTGCGTCATTTGCTGTGATCGTACGCACGTCTTCGGGCAAATCAAACACTCGTTGTGCCCGGCACTGCAATAGTTCCTCCCACACTCGGACAGCATCACGACCATTACCAAAGCCGTCCAACCTCTTCAGCTCTAGGAATATCTTCTGCAGCACAAATTCAGTTCCATTTTCCAGCATGAATCCTTCCTTTTGAGCTTTTGCTTTCAAGAATGCGACTCCGTCATTTGCTTCCCAGTCCGGGAAGTCAATGAACCGTTTGAATTGGCTTTTAAGACCAGCATTGCGGTTTAGCATGATGTCCATATCCTTTGGATAACCTGCAATCACGATAACCATGCCATTGTACGATGGATCTGTCATCGCAGCCACCAACGTCGTCATGGCCTCTTCTCCGTATTGTCCTTTACCCAACTCATAGGCTTCATCGACGAACAGCAATCCACCCTTAGCCTCGACAAGTTTCTCCGTCACTTTGGCCTTGGTTTGGCCAAGGTACTCCCCCGTGAGATCCAACCCCGAGGTCTCCACGAGCTTTGCTGTACCCAATGCACCCATAGCATGCAGTATTTGTGCCATCACACGCGCCACCGTCGTCTTGCCAGTACCCGGAGAGCCTCGGAAGACAAAGTGGCCGATTTCAGGACGTGTCGAATTTTCACGGTCTGCCACTGCCATCTGCGTCTGCAAACGTGAGAGTTGATCTCGGATCGTGTCCATGCGGTACAAACCGTCTAGCAACTTCATCGGATTCTCGGCCGCCGCAACGTTCTTGCCGGGTATGGCACACCCTCGGCGAGCAACAAGAATGGCTTCGCCGGCCTTCTCAGCGTCACTTTCTGTAAAGGTCCGCTCCTCTTCAGGCTCGGTCACCACCCTCTGTGCACGGTGTTGAAGTAACTCTTTCCACACACGCATAGCATCTCGGCCATTGCCAAAGTTGCTCAGTTTTTTCAGTTCCACAAACGTTTTTTGCAGAGACATTACTGCTTCACTTTCGACCTCAAAATTTTCCGCCTCAGCCTTCTCGCTCAAGAAAACAAGCGCATCCTGCGCTTCCCAGTCCGGGAAATCAATGAATCGCCTGAATCGGCTCTTCAGCCCAACATTGCGATCGAGCATCTGATCCATGTCCTTCGGGTAGCCAGCAATGATTATCACCATGCCGACATACGAAGGATCCGTCATAGCAGCTACTAGCGTTGTCATCGCCTCCTCTCCAAAAGTCCCCTTCCCCAACTCATAAGCTTCGTCAATAAACAGCAACCCACCCTTCGCTTCACCAAGTTTTTCAGTCACCTTTTGCTTAGTCTGTCCTACGTACTGAGCTGTGAGGTCAAGACCTGAGGTTTCAACTAGCTTCGGCGTTGCCAGGACCTCCATTTCATGAAGAATGGTTGCCATCACGCGAGCAACAGTGGTTTTACCTGTACCAGGCGATCCGCGGAAGACAAAATGACCGACTTCTGGGAGTGCTGAGCCTTCGCGATCCGCAACGATCATTTCGTTTCGAAGCTGCGTCAACTGCTCCTTGATCTCGTCCATGCGGTACAACTTGTCGAGAGCATTCAACGGGTCCTTCTGCTCATTATCGGAGCTCGCTTTAACACCGACATCCTCTAGTGTCAATAAAGTCTTTCCGTTTATCATGGGGCGATTCATGGCATTGCCTATCGCGTGCTTTAGCAATTGCTCTACAGCGCCAGCATTGCCAAAGTTTGGTTGGGTCTTTTGAAGCGCCAACTGCTTCAGCAGTGTCGCAGCCACTTCATACGGGCATGTCACACTTCGTTTAGCACAATTCCATTCCAGAATATCAAGAAGTTCGTGCTCCGTGTAATCCTCAAATCGAAATGCATGATCGGGCGGAAATCGTCGGATCAGTCCTGGGTTTTGAGTGCGCAGCATTTCGAGCATTTCATGTTCGTATCCAATCAGCAACACCGCTATGTCGTCACTCTCTGTACCTTGAACCTTCTCCACCAGTACATCCAGCACTTGCTTACCGTACATGTTGTCATTTAAATTGTATGCCTCATCGATAACAAGAACTTTACCCTTCGCCATGTTCAGGATTTGCGCTGTCTTTGTTTGAGACTCACCCACATGATTTCCGACAAAATCTCCAGCCGTCTTCTTTACAACTTCTCCATTGGTTAAGAAATCAAGCGTCTTAAGTAGCCGACCATAGTACCCTGCGCACGTCGTCTTACCCGTTCCAGGATTTCCTAAAAACAATCGATTGAGGCACACTGGTACTGTTTCCTGGCCCTTCAGCTCACGCTCGTAGTTCTCATCGCTGATACGTACCAGCTTCTTCATTTCCTCCTTAATCTTATGCCAGCCAGTCTTGTCCTCAACTTCATCCAGTACAGCTTGAAGCTTCGGGTTGGTCGACGGACGGTCTCCGAGCAAGTCCACAGTCTGAAACTCGAGATCGTCGTCGAAATCCTCACGAGCCATGGCCTCTTTAACCGCTTGTTCGAACAGTTTGCGCACAGCACGCGCATTGCCGAACCCCTTACGCCCTGCAGCCTTGGCTAGGCGGCGACATGCTACCTTCGCTATAGCTTTCTCGTATTTCCACCCACGGTCTTGCGCTATCCCATCCCAAACAGTCTCCAGGTCCTGCGCATCTAAATCTTCGAACACGACTTCTTCGAAACGTGATGCCAGACCGTCGTTGTAAGCGTACAACTTCTTTTGGATGTCGTCTTCGTAGCCTGCGAGAATGATTGAGAGGTCATCCCGCTTGTCTTCAGCCGCCGTCAACAACTCTGCCACTATTGGCTTCCCCTTAAAGTCCCCTGCAGGGTCTAGCTCGTACGCCTCGTCAATGAACAAAACACCACCGGTTGCTTTCTGCAATTTCGAACGAAATTCATCAGCTCCTTTGTCTTTCAACATCTGAGCAGTGCACTCGATGAAAGTATTCGTTTGACGAATCTTCGAGTCTTTCAGGACGTCGGCGAACAATCGCGCAACTGTTGTTTTGCCAGTACCAGGATTGCCCACAAAGCAATAGTTGAAAGCCATCGAGTTCTTTTTACGCTGAGTTGTAGATAACTGCTGCAATACCATCGCGTTCTTGAACATGTTTACTGCTGCGTGTTTCACCTTCATCAATCCCACCAGCTTCAGTAAACTCTCCATTGCATCTGAGCGACAACTGTATTGACTTTTTAGAGACTGCCACTTATCCTCTACCGAGGCTGAGCCAGAAATGATTGAGCCCACTGTATTTGTTTGACTGCCGGTTGTCTGCACCAGCCGCACTTCCGAATCAGTCAGCCACAAGCCGCTTGCCTCCGGATAAAGTGCAGCAAAAATGGCAAGTAGTTTTCGTTGAATATCTGATGAATGGGTTTGACTTAAGCGAACAGCCAGACGTGCGAAAGCAACAATGACGAGCGGGTGCGCATAACCCCCAGCCTCCACACAGACTTGATCCACATACTCTTCCAATTTCGATCGTGCTTCGACAGTCTCCTGCTTCCGCACAGCGAGCAGCTCCAACGCCAGTAACAGATTTCCATCTTCTTTCAACTTTCCTTGGCTTTGCAACGTTTGTACGTATTTGATCCCGCCAAAAGGGGTCTTGGGCTGGCTTACTGCAGTAGTTGCAACTTTTGTCGAGATAAAACTCAGCTTGGAAACGAGGCTATTTTCGATACGTTGAGATATTGCGTCGGCCGCTCCGGTCGACAAGGATTTTCCATCCCATGGATGCCAAACATTTAGTCTTTCGTTGAACGGACTCACCGATCCAACGAGTAGTCGCAGCTTCTTAAGGTCTCTTTCCAATATGATGGAAGGCGCCTGTGTCACAGCATCAGGTTTTGACTCATCCACATTTCCTACTCCCGTCGGCTTTTTGAAGCTAATCGTAAGAGGTGGCTCACCAACTTGCGTTTTTTCAGGCAAACACTCCAAAATGTTCTGCCTGTTCGAGTCAGCGACCTCAACTCGATGAACTGGAAACAAGACGTAGGGGTGCCATATGATCCAATTGCCACGTTCGCAGGACTTTGTGTCACGATATAGTGCGTCGTATCCGTGAGATGCCTGTCGAGTCACCCAAGAAGTTCGTACTTTCGCTCCCTTTTTTCCTTTGCTCGTAGGAATATCGACAGGATCTCTCAGGTGTTTGACTGTGTAAACGCAACCAAACAATATACATACTTTTCCGCTACCCGCAACACGCTTAAAGTTCTTTTGAGTGGCTTCGTATACTTCTATCCCGTTAAGCGTTTGTGGGCTCCCGAAATCTATAATCTCGAACTTGTCGATCGGATGTGCTTGCAACTTTTGATTCAATACGACAAATACTCCAAATTCCACTGGCGAGAAGAGTGTATTCGACCATTGTGCACTCAGATTCAACCCTTCTTTGAATTTCTCCAGCAATTTAACCTTCCGAATTAAATATTCGCGTTTACTGGACAAGCTCATAGCGATATGTGTCACACCATCCATAGTCGGCAAAAATCGAGCCGTCTCTGGAGACCAACGGCTCAATTTTGTATCGCTCAAGATACTCTGCGTGTTTTTGATTGCAGCATCCAAGCGGGCTGATGAGCAACAAGGACAATCCGACGGAATTCCTCTACTACAAAGGCGTAAGGCAAAGGAGTGCCCTTCTGAGCAAAGCCATTCTATCTCCTTTGTACATTCAACAGTGTTTGCTGACCTTTTGCACGGTACCATGACCTTACTTCCACAGCTCCCAAAATTCCAACAAGGCTTTTCAACCGACTCATGGCAACTCACACTGTCCACCTCGTCAGAACACTTCATTGGAGCTTCGTGCCCACAATTCAGTGCTTTCAGGACACGAACACTGCAGGAATTAGGTAGCTGCTTCCTTTTCAGAATATTAAGGGCGTCGCAGCACTTCATCTCAACATCGTGTCCACACGTGGTGGTCCGACGAAACCGCACAGGCGCGCCACAATCTTTCAGTATAGATTTTAGCACACCCGGGCGAGACCCAGGCACGGGTAAAGTATCGTCGACAACACTGTCTTCGTGTAATAGCTTTATCAATGGACTCTGCACTTGCCACGGTTGCCACGCGCTTAAATGCCTCGTCAAATGACATTGCAGCTGCACGAGGTGTCCACAAATCGGCAGCTCCCTTGTCACTAACTCATCGCAAACTGTTGTGATGGGGTGCCGGGCCTCACTGCATTTCATATTTTTCTTGTGACCACAGGCACGAATGTACACTACCTCGTGAGTACATTGGATATTGAGTCCGTAGCTGCGAAAGTTGCTGGAATCACCCTCTTGCACAGTTTCCAGCGGATCAATATCTTCCGGCTTCCCTAAAGATTGTGCGATCTTGTCCTGGAGTCTCTTTTCCTCAAAACATGTCGTTGAGCAATCGTGGCCGCATTCAGGATTTGCCACCACCACCGGTTCCTGACAACGCGACGGACTCTGCGCAAGCTCGAATGCTCGCTCGCATCTGAGCATCTCATAGTGGCCACAACGACGTTGGAACTTCACAGTCTGCTTACAAAAGTAGTCTTTCGGACCATAGGTTTCGCCTTCTTGGACGAAGCCCATTGTTGCGCATGACTCGCCAGTCCACTGCTTCAGCGTTTCTGCTGTCGGGCAAGATACAACCGTCTCATGGCTGCATCGAGGCAGCGACATCCTGACTTTCTCCTTGCAAACAAATCGGCGCATTGCGCTGGTGTAGTCCTGACGGTCGTGACATGATAGCGATACTGTGTGCTGGCAAGGTGGCGTAAACTCAACTTTTTCAATGCACAAGGGTGCATGCCCTTTTGAGTATCGATCAAACTCGGTACACGTGCATTTTAGAACGTGTTTGCACTCGGAGTATACGTACGGTGCGATAGCCTCTTTGTTGCAAACCGGCCATGAAGTCCGTCCGGCCACGATTTCACTTTGTAAGTAGCACTTCATTTTCTGGTTGTGGCCACAGGGCAAACTCACTTCAACTCGAGTATCACATTGGTACTTCTTTAAAGCCTCATCAATGGACATTCCTCGAGCAGAAGCCGTCACAGCGGAGCACATTAACTCCCGTGGGTGGCGGCTGCAAGGCGACTCGACCTTCACACAACAATTCTTATTGTGCTTGCCCACGTCAGGCCAGTGACACATTAGCCCGCAGTCATGAGAGCATGATAGTTCTACTGAGCATACCACAGTGCAAAATCCAAGCTTCAAATCTCTCTCTTCTTTTGCAAGAGCTACAGATGTTCGATGTTCAGGGCAGCAGATCGGAAGCGCACGACCAATACGCGGCCCGCTGTACGTTGTACACTCAGTATACTCAGTGTTATCAGACTCCGTGTCATTCTCTAAGAGTCCCAACGTCTTCTGCCAGTGTGTAGTTTCACCAAAGTACTCGACATTCCCTACAAGATACATCCCTAGACGTGCTCGACTCAGCAAAACTATCATGCGATTCTGAAGTTTTACGAAAGGCGTACGGGACTTGCCATCAATCACGAGTGAGATAATGACAATGTCAGCTTCATCACCTTGAAAGCGGTCGACTGTTGATACCGTGCAAGATGGAGTTAGTCGCGAATCTCGTCCTTTAGTCATCATAGTTAGCCCGTACGTGTTCATCAGCATTTTCCTCAAGAGCATCAGTTGTCCTTTGTACGGAGTGAGCACAGCAATTGACTTAGGAGGCACTCCGCAAAGAACCAAATAGTGCACCAACTTGCACGCCATCTTCGCTTCCTGCTGATTCACGCGGGACAAACCGACAGATGCTCGCTCTTGGGCACCAGAATGTGTCCAGAAGAATACGTGCGGCGACACACCCGGAACCTCACGGCCGCCCCCTTCACATGCATCGAGAAGCGGGTAATTTCCTTTGGCCTTGCTTCCAATAACTTTCGTGCCACATATTTCGTGATCTTCGATGGTTGTAATCTCCTTGTAATAGTTTCGAGTGAGATCGCAGATGTTCTTGCGCATTCGACGCTGAATCGATAGAACGGACGAAGGGACTTCATTCTCTTGTGGAGCACTAATCAATCGTTCAAACATCGAGATGTTGATCTTGTTCACTCGCTCAAAGTCGATTCGGCCCATAACAGACGGTTGCAGCTGCATATGATCTCCGATCATTTCCAATTTTCGTGTAGACGAGCTAAAACACGAAACAAGGAGCGGCTCCATTACTTCCGAAGCCTCCTCCACCAATATCGCGAATGGGTTCGTAGTCCGAATCGCCTCCAATCTCGACACGCAGCCTGTAATTGTCCCTCCGATAACAGCTTTGCCCTCATATACACGAGAATTTGCTCGGAGAATCTCACGCTGTAATTCAATCTTTAAATTTTCGAGCTTCTTCACGAACGCATGTTGTAAATACGCATTGAGATTGCTCCAAAGATTCAATACTGAATAAAGAGCGTTCCACCGCTCTTCCAAAGTCATCTCCCAATGCCATTCGGAAGGAGACATTAGTTGCTGGTCCGACAATGTCCAAGAAGACTTCTCCTCTTCGTCAATCTCATCGACTATAACATCCTCAACCTCATCGTCTTCAACCTCATAAACGTCGCGGAGATGCTGTAAATGCTCGGACTCCTCAACCTCGTCTTCATTGTCGTATTGGACAGCATCTACGAAGTCACCAACATCACTATCCGAGCTCTCTATGTCAATATCTGGATTTGTCTTTCCGTCTTCTAAGTCACTTAATATCGCAACATCGGAAGGCTGCAAAAGCCGGGTTCCCGATGTTTCATTCACTATCGGCTCCTCCTGGACTTCAACAGTCTCATGCCCGCTAGCTTCAACCTTATCTTCAGCTCCACTATCCGGCACCGGAAGCTCAGGAAGTTTTGTACTAGGCAGGTTAGTCCGTCCCACGTGATCTCTGCAGTAGTGCGAACCCGACACTAACTTCCCTTTACAAGCCTTTCCTTTTCTCGTTCGTGCCTGGCATTTGTCATCACTCATTTCAGCCATGCGAGTTGCTAAAGCTGCTGCTTCAACGTAATGTTTGCCGCAATACTGTCCCGTTGACGCGATTTCGCTACAAGGTTCTCCACCCTCCGCTATCCACTTGCAGTATAGACCTTCGACGTGAAGTTTGCAATGCGACTTGGTAGGCTCTGCGATTTCGGAGCACATACCACCCAGACCCCAGCAAAGTGGATGTCGTTCACACGAATTTCGAGGAGGATCGTGGGAAGCAATATCGGCAAGCTCACCTCGGGCTAAGCACACAAAACATGCGTGATCTTCGCAAAATGACTGAGCTTCGCTGATCCTGCAGTTCTTGCATTTGTCAGCTGAGCACAAGTGCTGTTTACAATAAAGTCGCTTGTGAGCCACACTTTCGCTGCAAACATATTCTTCATCGTGAGTGTATTTGCAGGAATGCTCTTGACAGAAATTACTCCCGTCAACGCACACGTTCAAGCATAGTTCAGGATAAGTGCACGCTGGCAAAGGGCAAAAGCCCGAGATCCACCGGTACACCACTTCTTGAGGATCAATATCGCGATCGTAGTGCTTAATACCTTCGTATAAACGTGCGATATCCTTATTAGTCAACATCGGTTTCTCCTTCAGTACACTTTTCACGACCTCAATAGGAGAGGGTGTTTCACTCAAAAGCTTACACAAGTCCGAATTTTCTTTGCCATCGGTTCCGTCAATTGCTTGCACGGGGTTGTCCACCGTCTCACCGACAGTTTTAATACTTTCCGTCAGGTGCAAAAGTGTTGCCACGGCTGAAGATGCCGCTGGAACAGCGTCTTGTACAATCTTCAATTCTTCCGTACTTAGGACTCTCGCATCACCACCAACAGTAGTTTGAGCCTCAAAAATGAGAGCGAATATATCACGAAATTTGTGCCATTTCTCTCGAACTTCTTGGCAATTCTCAATGCGCTGAGAGACCTCGCGTACATTCGGGTCTGAGGCGGCAACGTTTCGCTCTCGATACTGCTCTAGTTCGGGCTCACTACATCCTCCACCAATGCGTACAAGTCTCTTAAAACCATTTCCGAGATAATATCGTCCAAAGTAGGTCGTAGTTCTTGGAACGTGGCCCAGCGTTGGCTCAGATCGGAGCAAATCCAATAGAAACTCATCAATGGCGTGGTTTTTGTACGAAAGGACCAGGATCGGAGGCTCCCCAATTTCGAGATTCTTCTGTTTCCAAAGATCTCGGATTATCAGCAAAGCACGAACAACTACGACACCCAAATACGATTTTCCTGTGCCGGGTGGACCTTGTGTGCAATGCACAGGGTACATTAACGCCCCTGCGAAACTCTTCAATTGGCCAGGATCGAGCGTTACACTATTCACCAACTGTAGTAGTGAGATCTCTAAACGGCTTCGAAGTGCTTCATCTCGACGGATGTCAACAACAGGATCAAGAAGCGATAATCGGATCACCTCTCGAATCAAGTTTAGTGTTGATGTACCCGTGGTGGAGCTTACGCCTGTGGTGGGCACAACACCTTCATAGTAGTCATTGCCGTCATCGGCAACACTAGTCATCTGATCGCACAAATTAAGTAGTGCGCCATCTTGAAATGGCACCGGCATCTGACGTTGTTTCTCGAGCGCTTTCAGCACCGGAATGAACTCCGGAACAAACGTTTGGCAATCAATAATCGCCACTGCATTTCCTACACTCGGGTTGTGCGCCAGCATAGCATTCCCTGGCTCATCGAGGTACTGAAGCAGACGCAGCGTCAAGCATCCTCTCTCACGAGCCTTGAACTCGTCGAAACTTTTACCCTGGAATATAATTTCTCCCCAATAAATCTCATCCGAGCTTCGTAGCGATGCGTTACGGTTTGCAAGTCTCACGACACCCACCAGGTTAGGACTTGATAGCCGCTTGGTAGTTTTCCAATGAATAGGCTTTAACGGCGGTCGGCGCGACGCCACCTGGTCGATTGAAATGGTCCCGTCGTACTTGACCTGTGAAATGAAACCGTCATAGATGTGCGTCGACGCGTACTTGGACGGTGGCCCACGCAGTTTCTGCTGGTAGTCTCCAGCACACTTGCTGCAGTACCCTTTTGCATGTTGTCTGTGTGCGCACAAGAACGTTGCATTACGACCACATTGCGAGTCTTTACAATTAATAGCAGTTGTTTTGCCTGGGAACGGCCACAATGGTTGGTCACACATCTTGTCTCCCATCTTCACTGTGCAATGCGGTAACAAGGCATTATTGCCTTCCACAAACGTCATACCGATCCATAATTTTACAATCGTTGTAAAGTATTCCTCACTATTTTCATAAACTCTGCCTTCATTTGTGTGAGGAAGCTGCAGCTTCGGTAATAAAGTTGGCTGAAAGTTCTTATAATCTGCGAGCCATGCCACCGTGGGATGTCGCCAATCGACTAACGTCACATTCTCTTCAACTTCAACTTCTTCTCGTACTTTAACTCGAATGCTCCATGACTTTTCCATCTCATTTAGCAACGTTGTCAGTCGACCACGTACTGGACGATGCGTTTTCAGTCGAATATTCAGACTAGAGTCCGCTTCGACAATCATCTCGTCCAGCGCTTGTTTTACATCGTCTCTCTTCAAGTCCCACGTGAATTTCAATAGTCTCGAGACGACGCGTTCAACAAGTTCAACACCTTCAAGAGTGTCATCATTTCCATCCAATGCATGGTCTTCACATGGCGTCACTTGACTCTGGAATGTACGAACTCCTTTGCTGATAGCAGAGAGAGGAGGAGCCACTGATGCTGAAAAGGGTAAACGAGCCAACGCGGACAAGAGAATTTTAAGAGCATCCAATGGAAGACGCTCGGCCTCTTGCCAGCAATTGAGCCACGACTTTTCCAATTGCTCAATCGTTTCTTGAAGTTTGTGGTTTGGACAGTTCTTGAGCACGGACCGAATGAATTGAAGGTTCGATGGGTTTGACGGAAGCTGTTGCACACGAAAGTTGGACGTTCTACCACAACCTGCCTCTCTTCCTCGACTACTGCTTGGGTTTCGTTGTCCACGACCACCAACTCCTCGTCCTCGTCCTTGTCCACGACCACCAACTCCTCGTCCTCGTCCTTGTCCTCGTCCTTTTCCTCGTCCTCTTCCGCGACCGCCACGATTGCTGTTAGAATCTTCAACCATCACTCTTTCGTTAGTTTCTTCTTCTTCTTTTGGGAGCAAAAGTTGAAGTGAAAAAGGAAAGCGAGGGCGGAAAAAGTGAATGGAATTTGACAACAGGTTGGGACTAATGCATCCCAACTTCAACCTGAAAGTCTTGCGTTATCATACGGTACCCTTTTTTACACGATAGTATAATACAATTGAAAATACAGTCCTAAGAGTTGGTCCAATACTAAATGACCGTTAGAGCTTGACGATATCGAACGCGAAAGCAGAGAGCATTTGACAAGGACGGAGAGCACGACGAGACAATGTTGTGAAAGCATGGGGTCCTTTTAGAAACAGGTTGTCGCTTGTCTTTGTCGAGGATTGGCTGAATCAGCCAGTTACAATTCACTCGAGAAGGTAATTCTTTTCGTACCTCCTCCTTTGCCAATGGATGGTCGACAGCGTATCAACGTTTTGAATGCATCACTTAGTGGTCCCGACAATCTGGTGAGATTTGCTCATCGTGCCTCGCGCGATCAGTTGGTACAGTAGTAATACTTCAAGCTTCGATTTTTCTTGTCTCTTCAATCGTTAATATCATCAGTAGCTGCTCGATGTTCATCGACTCGAAACTACATACGACTCAATTGGTCGTTGAGAAGGTGTTGCTGGAGCCGGTGGGGGATGCAGTGAATCGAGTGGGGGCAGCAAGTAGTACTTACTTTTTTGACTACTCGAAAAGCATGTAATCTTCATACCGACAAAAGTAGTACATTCTACTTATAGTAGTTTCTGCTGTAAAGCTTCATTACAGTATAGCAAATAAAATCATGTCGTTTTTCTAATATTCCCATCATCATAGAAACTGCATATTCTGCTTCTCTCTCTCACTCGACCATTCATTTTCTTTCTTAATTCTTCATATGTACGTTTGTTCTTCCTATCCCTTTTATATATGAAAAATTGTATCAAACTGACATATAATCAGCGAGGGGTGCCGATTGCCAACCATGGACTAGTTCCCATGCGTTGACCGGCTGAGATAATACTCTTAGAACCTGATCCGGATTATACCGGCGGAGGGACTGCTACTTTTCTGTTTTGTTAACAATACTATTTTCTCTGCTGCCTAAAACTACAAAAGCTACGAATTTTAGTATCAAGATGCTTGCAACTGAAGTCACGTATGGTGTCATGGCGGCTACACTTATTGGAGTAGCTGTATACGCAATCATTGTAAGTCGACGACTTGAAATCAATTCGGTGAAAAACTTTGTCAGGTACGAATAAAATAGTAATGGGGGGAGGGGGTCTAAAGTAGTATTAATACTTGATGTTGATATATTACTTTTAAAATAGTGCTAAGAACACGACACCGACGTTGCGTCTCGCATGGTGTTTATTTTCGGCTGGAATTGGTGCTGGAACACTCTTTTCGTTCCCACAAATTGGAGTCGATGCAGGTTCTTGGGGGGTTATCGGCTACACACTCTCTGGAATCATTGGCATGATTGTTCTCGCCCTTGTTGGTCCAAATATGCGCTCGGCATTGGGTGAAAATGTCACAATGACGGACGTAGTCTCACGCCGATTTGGTTACGTCATGCAGTTATATGTCGGCTTTATCTCGATGTTTTACCAGTTTATCTGTCTAGCATCCGAGTACACTTCAATTGCACAACTTACGACCATGTTGTCACCAAATGCTTACCCGATGGTGACGATTCTCATTGTAGCTATCCTCACAAACCTTTACCTTGTCATTGGAGGTCTTCGTGCAAGTTTAGCGACAGATGTGTGGCAAGGCATTGGAGTTGTTGCACTGGTCGCGGTTGTGTGCATTGCAATGTTCTTTCACGTGTCAATACCAGACGGTGCCTGGTCCAACACGAACGTGGCTGCTTTCACGACCGCAGGCTTTGAAACGCTGGTGACGCTGATCATTGCTGTGACGGCGGCAAGCTTGTTCTTTACGGGATACTGGCAGCGCGTATACGCCGCCTACGACGACAGTACACTTCGCAAGGGTACGATGATTGCCAGCATTATCGTTGCCCTGTTCACTGTGACGCTCGCAATTGCCGGCATGGTGTCGTATCTTGCGTATCCGGATGGTGCCTTGTTTTTCGCGATCCTGATCGACATGGGTCGCGGCTGGCAGGTGCTCATCGTTGTGGTCATTGCCATGTTGTCAAGCGGCGTGTCAGACTCTATTCAAATGGGTTTGGCAGCTGAGCTCACGACGTGCTTTCCCAAGATGTCGTTGATGCAAGCACGCATCATCTGTGGTAAGTAGTTCGTATCTTCTTCATTGTCTTGGCGCAACATCCAACTCCACTATTGTTCGTCTTGCTAGTGCTCCTCAATGCTCCTGCTATCGCGATTGGCTATCAGCAGTATGACATCCTCACGCTCTACCTCATCGCCGACTTGCTGTGCATGGCTGCCGTTGGCCCTATGCTGCTCGGTACTTGGAAACATGCGACGCGCACGGGTGCACTGGCCGGCTGTGCTGCTGGATTGGCCACCATCTTCGTCTGTGGTGTGATTGCGCAAGGCAAGTTCATCGGCGGCTTCAATTGGTTTATCCTACCGGAAGGTCTCTATTCGCAGAACAGCATGATCACTTTCATCGTCACGTTGATTGTCCCACCTGTCGTTACTGTGGTCGTGTCTTTGTTGACAAAATCGAGTGCCAACGAAGTCGCGACGGACAACAGTTATCTGATTCAGCTATCGCCGATCCAAGAAAGCTCCAAAGCCTAGGAACCTCTTACGAGGTGCAAGAGTCGACTTACTCGAGGGTGTAGATCCCTTGGTCGTAAATGAAAGTTCTGGGACGGAATTGATGGATACTGTGGTGAATTTGCGACTCTTATTTTTTTGCTGATATGATTGTTGTGCACGTACCGATAGCCAAAGTCTGGAGTCCACTACATGTTTCGAATCTAGTTCAAGACAAGATGAAGATGAGTGCCGAGTAAAGTGTATTCAGTGGACGTCTTGGGATAGAAGACTCGCATCTGGATGCCCACCATTCTTCAACGCCTGTGATGAAGGCTTCACGTCCAGGAAAAGTGTTTCCAGGAGCAATAACAGTCGAGACCATCAGCTTTTTGCTATAGTCCAAGTGTGTTAGTAGCCTATCGCCAACACCTAGTCAAATCTTGGTCGGTACGACCACAATGCAAAATATATACAAGAGCGCATTGCAAGCAGGGTAATTATGCTTACTTGGCAGCAGGTTGGAGCTGGTGTAGATACAAGGCTAAGTTAATACGACGACGTCTGGCGTCCAAATGGCAGGTCTCGAGGATTACCGTCCTTGTCTGTAAACAACCACTTCTCAATCGCTTGCAGCGTCGTTGGCGTTTTCGGCGTTTTCGGTGGCGTTGCAGGAAATGGTCGCCCACTTCTTCTTGACCGACGTGGCCCTGCTGAAGCGGTCCGAGTGGTCCGTTGTTTGAACGGGAAAAACTGATTCGAAGTCCTACCAAGGCTTTCTTCAGTAGAGAAAACACCATTTTGCGATGCAGCGTTCAATTTCGCAGTAGTCGTTGGAGTAGTCAAAGCCGATGCTGGCAACAACCAATTGACGATCCGATCCGACAACGAATTTGCCTGTTTTTCGGCACCAACACATTGACGTTTTACTCGCGTCATCTCCACACTCACCTCCATATCTTCTACCAGCTCCCGTTTTCTCATAGCAGGAGGAAACGACGCGACCGCTGAAAACCTCGTCGATACCGTTTGTTCCGGTGTTTCGTCTGAGATCACTTCCTTCCCTTGTAACGGTTTCGAAGACATCATCGAATTCGTTGACTCTTGCAACGACAATCCAATTAAATTCTGGTGTCGTCCAAGAAACAAATGCAACTCATTGGTTTGGTTCTGCAACAATTCCAACTCCAATTCCAATGCCGAGATCTACAAAAGATAAAAAAAACATATCAAACATCATCAAAAAATAGCAAAACAACCACAAATCTCACACCAAATGTAGTAAAGTAAAAAAAATCTACACGTACAGGGGAACGTTGAAACCTGCAGCTCAGAAAAAGCTCACTGATTTTTGTTTTATCGTGTTTCTCGAGCACGTACCACTTGTCAATTTTTCTCTGATCTTGAAGTCTTGCTAATGGTAAAATAAAAGTTCCCACAAGCTCATCTGCTCCAATTCTTTCTTCCTGCATAACATCCACTCGAAGAGTTCCGACAGCAGCTGGAAGTCCTTGAAACAATAACATGTCATTCCATCGAGGTGCATCACTCACTGGTCGTTTGGTAGTCATTTGGTGCTCCATAACTGTAGTGCTCGCTAACTGTTTGGTCAGGACTTCAACCGTAACTCGCACATACGTCCATTGTCCAGATAAAAAACCGGCTTTAAAGAGCAAATTTCGTCCACTCTCAACTTTGACTTCCAACCGAGCGACACTCAGTCCCGAGTCCAGCCGTTCGTCAACGCCTGCGATGCTATTATAACGTAATTCCTGTTGTAAATGATGTAATTGTATTGATTTTGCAGCCCGTGTCTCATCCAGACGACGAATACGAGCTTCCACGTCGTCGACAGCGCTCATTACAGTAGTTCGTCAGTTATATGGAGGAAGAGCTCAACCGTCGGTAATTTATTTGTTCCGACTTTATTTTGCAAAAGCCAATCAGAATATATTGGAAAAATAAAAAACCTCTCGGACAGAATAACTTACAGCAGGACGAAAAAAAACGTCATGTGTATTAAAAAAAAACGGACGCCAGTTCACAGCGTTCAAATGGAAGTACAAATTCGTACTTAAAACCGTCGTAGCATTACTTGAAGTAACACGAAGCGCCTTTACTCTTCTGATTGGTCGAAAAAGACGCTGCGATGACCACCCTACATTTCATTATATTCCTGCCATCTGATCCCAAATTCTATCAAAATGCCGGCCGAAGAACCGAAACTCAAGACGACGCCGCTGGATCCGCGGTTCCCCAACACAAATCAGGCGCAACACTGTTGGACACGCTATAACGAGTACGTGTTGTGTCTCAAGAGCAATGACGGGGATGAAGACGCATGTCACAAGTACATGCAATACGCCGCGTCGGTTTGCCCCAGTTCCTGGGTATGTTGTTTGTATAACCTTTCAAAGTTAATATGTTTTTTGTTAAGTAACTTTTGTTTATGAACCAATCAGATGGACCGCTGGAACGAACAGCGTGAGGAGGGGACGTTCCAGGGCGTGCAGTATACCAAGGAAGAGTAAAATCAAACGGTTATCATCCATTGATGGATATTCCGAGACTCTTGTCTCTCTTTCGGCCTTCACACAAACGAAATAAAGAAGTTTTTTTCTCTCCTAATTGCATTCGCACTATTCGAGTAAAAGTATGAGTTTTTAATTGAAGATACCAAGTGTCCAAGTGTCCAAGCCAGTGTCGGTTGTCTACTGAATCTCGTACTGTGTGCGGCGTAAATGGGGGATTATGACCGACTCGACTTGGATCGGATCTTGAAATTTAACACGGCTTTTGTACGTCACTGCAGGTACATTATACAAGAGATAACCTTGAACACTCTTGACGATCCTGCTAGTAGTATCACCTGGTGAATGTGCTGACCAAGACCTTGAGTTTTGACGTGTGGCATTGTCTTGCTGGGGTTCTTGGCGATGAAAACGCTGGCAACTCGAGATCGGCTCTGAGAATATATACAAGGTAAAGAAAAACTACTTACATATATGGGGAGACTGGCTTTACTTCTTAGCCAGTCTAGATCGACATCCCTTGAGCCATGTACACTTGTTCTTGTCTTGGTACGAAATTAGTCGGCTTCTTATTGATTTGCATGGCATCTCTTCGAAGTGACCCGCCCGAGGTCACTTAGAAACGCTGAACGGGGTTGTGACGCATGCCTCTCATCGGGGACAATTGTAGCTGCTGTTGAGTCTGCATGAAAGTATAAGACCCCGTTGACTCAACACTACTAGGATCATTTTCTGGATGTCCGTTCCACGATTCCGACAAAAGCATCGTAGAACTCTGCGGGGGCAGATTATCGTCCACACCTGCGCTTTCAAGTAGAACATCAATGTAGTCACGGGGTTGCTGAGTTGGCTGCTGCTGGTTGTCTCGTTCTTGCTGACCATTTTGCTGCTGCTGTTGGTATGATGCCACTTGTCCTTGATGAGATTGGTATTGCTGGGGATAGAACGTAAGAGGACGTTGCTGGAGTTTCCTGTCGCCTCCCGACGCTGTATGAGAAAAGCCCATTGACCCGATAATGTTATCCTGGAATGATGGATTGGTGCTGTGTGGTGCATTCGAGCCTCCAAACTTTAGAGGCATCATCATCGAGTGATTTTGCGGCTGAAGTTGGTACGACGTGTTTCCAGCTGATGACGAATTCGCATTGACGGATGTCTGCCATCCGCTGGAGGATTCAGACTTGATGGACGTTGGCCACCCGTTGCTGGACTGGGGCTTCACGCCGTACCCGTATCCCCCACTGCCAAAATGTTGCTGTCGGTTGACCTGCTGCCGTAGTTGTCGCTGCTGCTGAAGCTCGTATGCATCATTAGCTGAGTTCGCTGAGACGGGGAGGACCACCGATGCGTCATTTTTGACATTTGAGGCAAAAAGTGGTTGCTGGGAAGCCGATGTAGATGAAGACGCCATAAAATCTTCAATTTGGCTAATCGAAACGCCCTTGTTGTCTGAAGAACCACCGATATTATTGTTGCCATTCAAGAGCTGGTCGCTTTTGCGTCGACCTAGAATATTGGCACCAAGGGATCGATAACCACCACTTCCAACCCCTCTCGTCGCGTTGACGTTCATGCTCGTACCAAAAGCATCACCAAATCCGGGAGGCAAAACGTGAGGAAGACTCTGGCGCTTCCCGTGTGCAGGTGGATAAGAATAGCCTTCCGATGACTCCTTGGTTTCTGCAATTTTTCTCATATGCGTAAATGGTTGGTGCATTGACGCCGAGTTGGCTGCAGAACTGACTCGAGCTTCCATTTCGAGCTCAAATTCCTGTTCAGCAGGTGTTCCTGCACGCTTGCGTCCTGGTTCAAATGAATCTGCGGAAGCTGCAGCTGCAGCTGCAGCAGCTGCAGCAGCAGCAGCCGCGGCTGCCAAGCCAAATGCTTCCGATCCAGGAAGCATTCCCGTCGAATGACGTCGTCCAGCTGCTGCCGAATTCAAAAATGTCACTGTTGCACCTGAAAGAATATTGGATTTCTGTCTTTTCAAAGCTTGTTGGGTCGAAAGTTGACCTGCTAGATCCTGAGCTTCACAATGAAGTTCACTTGATGCTCGAGCTTTTTCTGGAGCGTGAGGGTGGTTCATAATCTCAATGGAATTGGACGTAATGGTGGCTGCCATTGCAGCTGACAGAACTGTTGCATTGGCTCGTTCTTTTCGTTTAATCAGCTTCATCCTGTCCTTATCAGCTCGAACAAAAAACGGGTGACTAAACGTACAAACATTCGTCTGTGTCTTGGTCCATTTCTTGAATCCAAAATAATTCAATTGTCGCTGGAAACTCGACACTTTATTGTGCTTGAAATATTTGGGTAAAATCTGACACGCCAATTCCTCGGGTTGGATAATTTGAAACGCGGTACCTTCGTGCGACCACGTAATAATAGCGGGATTTTCCATTTCTAAAATTTGAAATAGAAATCGTAGAAATTTGGGAACACCAACATTCCGACGTTTGATTACATGCACGGGAAAGTTCTTGGTTTCTTCTGGACAATTCCATTCGTCGTCATATGGTGCGACACGTGACGCTTGGCGTGTCGTCATCTTGTCGTGTGAATGTGCCGTCTCGAAATGATTGTCACTTTCCATTTTTCCAGTCACTAAAGGAACTGTTCCGAATGTGTCACAAGTTGCAAGTTGTTCTTGTGTTCGTTGAGAATTTGCAGTGGAAGAAGAAGGAAACAGAGTGTTTTGAGAGATAAATGAATTGATTGGAAACGAGCTATTTAATGGATGTACGAGCTTTTCTTCCTCGCGGTCTCTTGTACTGAGCATTCTGCGTTATGCATCCTTTCATGACCTTCGAAGAAAAAAAAACTTCCATGTTTGGGAGAGTGGATTTGAAGCCAAGGAGGGACATTTTCAACCAATCGTTGCATCGAAGATACATGTTTTTGCATAAAGTAAAGATTGAATGCTGATGGCGTAGGGTGACTTAAACGACAACTGTATTAAGTTCGAGGCTGACAACACGGGATAGGATAATATAGTACTGCTAAACTACTCTCGACGTATGAATAAGAAAAAGTGATATTGTAAGGTTTTGACTTGGAGTATATATCGCAGACTAAATTACGTTCGATGAATGTTATATTATATTACTTTCTTCTGTCGATATCCTGACTACTATTTATTGTATGACGACTAATATATTAAACTGACGTACTATTTTGTGAGTTACTGGTCAGAGAGAGGATGTATAGTACCTCATACAACTGAACACGAAGTAAGAAAGTATCTTGCCAGTAAGACAGTTTATGATTGGTCAAAAATAAGGGTCTAAAGAAACAACTTCAACTTGCGGTGTCGTTACATCATATAAAGCACTTGGTGCCCAGCTTTTTATCTTACTTTCATTATACGGTATACAACAATCAAGTCAACTCGTGACTGGCATCGGACCTTCCATCATGACAAACCTGACGCAGCAGCTTGCAAGGCTTCAGCTTGGTGCCTCTGGATCACGTTACTGGCCCTCGCAACGTCTCCACGAAGCATCGTCCATCTACATTAATACTTCTTCTATCTATCTGCAATGTAGCTCTGTCCATCTCTCTCTGCTCGCGTCGCTACAGTGTCCAGCGCAAAGTGTCCTGTCACTCCGAGACGAGCCTGAGACTCACTTTATTGGCCAAAGTACAGGCTCCATGCGCTCCGGACCAGTGTTTCAAGTATCTTATGCTTATAATAAGACATTATTGGTGGCTGTGGATGAAGAAGGAGCGGTGGGAATCGTCGAAACAGCCAGAAAACGCTGGAAAAGCCGCTGGACAGCACATCAGAACGCTATTTTTGACGTTCTATGGACACAAGACGACACACAAGTACTTACAGCAGCTGGAGACTTGCAGATCAAGATATGGGACGTTGAGAGAGCCGGAACGAGCTCATTGACAGCGTCAAAACCTGTTTCGACGCTGAGAGGACATGACTTAAGTGTAAAATGTGTCCGTCAAGCTCCAGATAATGCTCATTTCTTTGCTTCAGGTGGAAGAGATGGAAGGGTATTGCTATGGGATACTCGTGCTACTGAGAAACCTGTGCTTTCAATGGAAAATGTGCATGCAGAGCCGACTTTGTCGAGAAACTTGTCGTCAAATGCAAGTTTCACGTCGGCTAGCCAGAAAAAAAGACGACGACGGGTAGCAATGATTTCATCTTCACCACGTAGTGTTACGTGTGTGGAATTCGGGACGACAGGGAACGAGATCATAACGGCAGGTGCTGTTGATGCAGTAGTACAGTTTTGGGACGTGAGACGACTTGGATCGAGTTCTACTGCCAACTTTGGGAAAAATAAGGCAGCAATTAAATCTCCCGTGCCAGTTTACGAGATATCCTGCTCTAGTCATGAAGGTGCTCGTCGTGGTATTTCTTCGCTGATGTTTGGTCCGAGGGGTACTGGAGGTGCATCTCATCTGCTTGTGAATGTGCTGAACGATTCCATTGCTGTGATTGATACTGGTCAAAAGCAGCATGATCCTGGCCATCACGGCGCTAGAATTAATCTTCGATGCTCTGGGCACCAGACAAGTTCCTTTTACTGCAAAGCTACTTTTAGTCCGAATGGAGACTTCATTGCTGGTGCGTCAGCGGATGGTATCGTGTACATCTGGGACTCACGCTTAAATACTTCATACGATGAAGTCAATTCTTCTGCCTGGTCGAGTCCTGGTGTTTTACAGCGTGCACCATATCTTGCGCTAAAGGGTCACACGAATGAGGTTAATGGAGTTGCCTGGAGCTCCCGAGACTTTTCTCAACTTGCATCATGTTCGGATGATGGCACCGTACGGTGCTGGCAGGTTGGCAGCGAAAAGGATGAACTACAGAGTAGTCAAGAGGAAGAGCGTAGTAACGAAGCTGCATGTTTCAAATTACTATTCGCGTCCGGAGACAAGTCTTGTGAAAAGAGTGGTGTAGCAGAATGGGCAAACTGGAGCACCTTTGTTCAGCAACCTGACGGTCATGCATACCGCGTACGAGGATACAAGCGAGCAGCAGTCTCTCGGTCAAGCCGTTCTTTATCTCCAAGCTGCTGCCTGAGAGTACAACTAGATACGCAACGAGCGTCACCTCAAAGTACGCGACACAATACTGAACCTCGGTTGCACCCCGTCCACGAGATTCCTACCGCACAGCAGCTGCCACAGCAATCACACGAATCACAGGAAACCCAAGAGGCCCAATCACAACAAAAGCGTCGCATAAAGCTACGACGAAAAGCAAAATCATTGACTTTACCCAAGCGAGCCCAGAGAACCCTGCTTGAGCTGTGGAAGCAATAACAACAGAACCGTTTAAAGTATGCAACAAAGTAGCACATGCTACACAATAGAATAAGTAGAGCTCGACCATCAATGATCGTACAACAGCGGTGCTGGTGGCAGCACCTCAATTTCAGAATCCCATTAGCAATGTTCTCCGTGTTATTGGATAGCTGCAGGTCATTACAAAACATCCTCTTCGAATGCCTTCCCAAAAATGTCAAGTAGCTTGTCAATGTCCTCCTCGTCCACGACAAGTGGCGGACACAAACGGATTGTGCTACAATAAAAAGATGCAAACCGGGTCATAATCGTAAGACGCCTTATCATACACCACCGATAACAACACGATGCATAGTCAACTTACTTTTCACCGGCCGAAATGATGAGCACCTGCTTCGATAGTGCGTACTCGATGAGCGGGCCGACGGGCTTGGCGCATTCAAGGGCAACGAACAGACCACCCTTGCCGATCGGCTTGCGGACATCCACTACCTTGTCAGGGAACTTTTGCTGTAGCTTCTCTAGACCGTTAGCCAGGTAGTTGCCACGCTTCTGCACATTGGCGAGAAAGTTTTCATCCATGATCTTGTTTAGTACCGTATTGGCCACAGCACATACTAGCGGATTACCACCAAAAGTCGTGCCGTGCTGACCGGGGCTAATAGTCGATGCCACCTTGTTCGACATGAGCACAGCACCAATTGGCAGTCCACCAGCAAGCGGTTTTGCCAGCGTCATGATATCAGGTATCACGTCGTACAGCTCGTGAGCAAATAGCTTACCCGTACGGCCAAGACCACACTGCACCTCGTCCATAATAAGCATCGTGTCGTGCTTGTCACACAAAGCACGCAGCTCCTGCATAAAATCCGGATCAGCAGGATGGACACCACCTTCACCCTGAACAGGCTCGATAAAAACACCTGCAGTCTTCTCCGAAATGAGTTTCTTGACACTTTCAATGTCATTGAATTCCGCATAATGAATACCCGGTACAAGTGGCATAAAAGCTTCTCGAATCTTGGGTTTATGCGTCAAAGTCAAAGCTGCAGCTGTGCGACCATGAAATCCATGTTTAAACGAGATAAACTCAATCTTTTGTCCTGCCAATGACCTAAAATTACCATATAAAATATCATCATCGTCAGTTTTTACGTTTAAATGTTTTAACTCCCTTTCAAACATCACGAATAGGTTTTATTTCGTCACGTACGTCCCTTGCGTCACGTGATTGGCGTAAAGTCGTGCAAATTTATACGCCCCTTCATTGGCTTCCGTGCCCGAATTAGCAAAAAAGACTTTATCAAAGCACGAATTATCCACTAATGTCTTGGCTAATTCCAGGGGCGCTTTCGAGTGAAATAAATTGCTCACATGTGTCACTTTCTTGCCATTTTCTACAAGACTCTGATACCAATCGTCATCGCCATGACCAAGACCAGAGACAGCAATACCTGCATAAAAATCTAAAAATTCACGACCTTGTTCGTCGTATAATTTACTGCCTTTACCATGACTAAATACGAGCCCTGCTTCGCCACGAACGCCGTTTCCATTGTATGTTTTAGCCAAATACTTTTGTTCATACGTGTCTGCATGAAATGGTGTGGCTTTAGAGAAGGCACGAGAAGCATTGGCCATACGTTGGAGCTGCTTAGTATAACGAACCGAGGCTAACATTTTAACTGCTAAGGACTGGTCTTTTCCGGTTATAAGAGAGTTTGGTAGCGAATTCCGGATACGAGGGAAAAATCATGTGGTTCTCCTTGCACGTCCCATCATGATGCTGACGTAATCATACTGTCAGCTATATGTGTAGCCATTTTCATGACAAGCTCATAATTATGTACTGGAAAAGTAAACGTACTAAAAACCAAGTGATAAAGTTGCTGGATGCCATGCCAACAACCGCAACACAACAGCAACACACAGCAACACTTACAACAACAGCAACAGTAACAATACCATCAAGCTTATCATAGTACTTATTGACCGATATAAGCCTTTACTGTTGCTTCTCCTCTCCATTAACGAACATATCCTTCCAGCGTTGATCGAGCGCGGAATGAGCATGACCCCGACTGATAAGCTTCAGCATGACTCGCCATTTGTGCAATTGTACAAGGTCCACACACAAACGCACTTGTAACATCAAGCAATGCGTTTCCCGGAATGTCAAACAATGTGCGCATTTTAGTTCGCAGTCGGGCGACTGCTAATGCTGCGACAATTGCAGCCACGACACAAATAAAGTTGATGACGGTATTGTTTGCCGAAATAGCCAATAGGACCAGGAAATAGAGCGCAGCATAAAGTTGAAGCACTATTTTATAGCGCATTAACCCCAATCGAGCCATGATCTGAGCCACAGAGACTCCAGGACAGAGAAAGGCCATGAAACCTACCAAAACGAATAAAGCGTGAATATAAATGACAGACATCTAAATTGAATGGGACAAAAAAAAGGTTCAGACCATTGGGAATGCAGTCGCCATAAAACTCCAAGAATCCACTGGACCAACGACCCAATTTCAAGCCATTGACGTCGACGTCAGCTGTGGTACCTGCGTCGATTTCTAGCTTGTAAGCAGAGGCAAACTCGTCCTTGGACGTTGACAGCTCAAACATGTTGAAAAAAAGTTCTTCTTCTGAAAAGGAGTTTCGATTTATGATGTTAAAATTTGTATGGACTACACGATAAAAGACCAATAACAGAGACCAATTTGATTAAGTATACACACGTATACCCCCATTTAGTAGTAAGATGACCACCCCCTTTGTGTAATAAGACAAAGGGTTCCAACAGACGGTCTGGATAGTAGACCTCATCACGACCTTATAGAAAATACATGCGGTTCCTACTGGAAACCGCCTCTTACACTCTCGATCGTCATGACCATACAAACTTCTTAAAAAGCAAGTGCATTGTTTAAAATAAATAACGCGCTGCAAATTATAATCTCCCTTCTTCTCTTACTAATGCAGGACTACAGACGATTCGAGTAGAAGCTGCAGCGCGATCTGCGCAAGTTTCGGGCCGCGTGATGCAGCCGACCCTCATTGTAATAACTTTTCTATTAGCCTGGAAACTCAATTAATCGTCTAGTCTTCCTCTTCTTCGTCGTCTTCCGAGATGGCATTAAGTCCAGTAGGTGAAGAGCATGACGGAGAACTTGCAATCTCGGCTGCTACACCAGTAAACGAGCGTCGCATGTACGATATTTCCTGTAATAAAGAGAAAGAATCGTTAGTCCATAAACTGTTTGTTACCATGCACTAGTTGTACCATGTATCGTACCTCCAGAATAAGCTGCGCCATCTCATCGTCAGCGTCGAGGGATAAAAAGGAGCTGAGTTGTAGCTGGGCGTTGTTCGAATTCGTACGGAAAGTGTCCATGGCAATTGGCAAGATTTTGCACGAAAAAAATAGGCACGTTACTAACTGGTGGCAAAATGGGAAATGCTAGAGTCTTTAGAAATGGATACAAGCCTTTGAATTGTATGACTCGTTGTAAGGACATTCGAAAAATGCACGACTAAATACGATTTGAGACATGTCTCTTTTTTTTAAATAGCCAATCAATGACTGTAAATTTGATTTTTGACCACTCATCGGGCGTCCACGTCACAAATTCGGCGGCGCTGCTTGGGGGAACGTCATTTATAAAGGCTATAGAAGAAGGAGCGACGTCATTCGGATGGTGACGTCGCCCGCACTTGAAGATCGCATTATCGGAAGTACGAGTCATTCGGCTGCATAGGGTCTTTTTTGGTCAGATTCATTAGTTTATACAGCTCCACAATGTCTTGTGTTTGGCTCGTTTCTGGATGCTTCCCGGCCGGCAAAATGCAGCTGGAGACGATCCGCAATGTGACACTTGAAGTTGAGAATTATTTTAGTATTGTATGGGGCTAATGAAGTCCTTATCAATGGGCTCTAGAGCATAAACATTGAGCAAAAATGTCGTGCAAAAAGCTACCGTCTCATTGTATAGCGAAGGGACTATTGAAACAGCCACCTGTTCAAGCGGTTGCACGTGTTGTTGATTGCTATGCTATGCTGTATGTAATGGGTCCAGACGGATTCTGTGTACTACTAAACAATGGTGATAGCAGGCTTTTGGACTGTGTCTGAATGTAGCTGTGCCAAAAGCTACGAAAGGATTCGGGTAAGTGCTTGGGGTAAACACGGTTTTATCGTCCTGTTCATTAATAAAGTATAGGTAGGTGCTCTTCATCTCGGCTGCTGAGATTTGCCAGATTATACGTGAATGGGTACATATATGGTGACGTCAACACGAAGTGGCTCAGGAATATACACTACACCCGATTGTCACAACTTGAATGTCATAAACAAATCGATATAAAAAACAAGGTATTGGACAAGATGGTAGTTCCATTGATCAGTGCCAATAGCTACTGAATAAATGACCATCAACCATTACATGCATTTGTCTGCAGATCCGTTGCTTGCTTACATGATGCTGACGACGTCGGTAGTCTCTTGGACCACAGTACGGTCCATCATCTCCATCTTCTTCTCTTCCTTTGTCATAATCGGATAGGAAGCGTCCGTAGCAATACCACATTGATTGTTCTTGTTCCGACTCATCATGATATAGCCCTTCATGCCCCACGACTCACCCCATGAGTTTTTCACAAGCCAAAAGTCTGACTTCTTGTACGTTCCAAAGCCAGCAGCTGCCACACCGTGGTCCAGTGCATCCGGTTTGTTGCCACACAATGGCCAGCTGTACACACCGTGACGGTACAATTGAAACGTAAAGCTACTTGCATCAATTGCCACTGCCTGCACACCTTTAGTAGCAATAGCTGCTTGCAACGCGCTTTCATCGCCCGACGTCACATTCGCATACGCCGTAAAATGGCCCACTGCCTTGTCGTCTTTGGCGTTACACACGCCCTTGGACTCTGCCGTATACTCATAGTCCACCTCCCGATCAATTTTACCTCCGTGGTGATTAATAATCTCCTGATAACCTTCACTCATCTCTCCACCATGGCTACAGTCATCAATACCCTTAAGAGTACAGTCCACAAGTTCCTGCTCTGAGAATGACTCAAGTGTGCCAGTTTTCAGAGCATAAGCCGATTCCATTGCAGCCACAGCCGAAAAGGCCCAGCACGATCCACATTGGCCCTGGTTCTTTACAGGCGTCACAACGTTGTGTGTACGCCAATCCCAACTGTCTGGAATATCTTGAAAGTTTTCAGGCTTGGAAAACGTCTCACTCGCTCCAGAGCTCATTGATTCACGCATGTGGTAACTGAGCAACTGTTTGTACTCGGAATCGTTGAGATCCGCAAGATCATTGAGCCCTAGTGTAAAACTAAACTCACCACGTTCGTACGCTTCATTATGTGACTTGATACGCTCAAGATTCGTCGCAAAAGCTCGGAATCGGAGCTGCACGAGATCTTCGTCATTGGCAGCGTAACGGTATTCCTTTTCAAATTCCAGCGCGTAGTCCACAAAGGCCTTCCACGTCTGATGCTCACTAGAGATTAAGAACGAAGGAAAGTTGGTGGTTAACGCTTGGGAAGTAGCAAATACCGTCGCAGCGAGAAAGAACGTTTTCATCGTTATTGGATCTTGGAGCTTTTCGGATTTTGAGAAAATCTGATTTGGAATTCTCTCTTAGAAATGATTTCTTACGGCTGCTTCGTTTCAACAACTATTTAATTTTCCCCTTTTGGTCTCTCCATCAAGCCATTTCTTTGTAGTCATCTTGGTTGTACAGTTCATATTAACTTTCTGCATATGTTCCTTCTCACCCTTTCATATCGTCATCGTACTATCTCACTAGTCACTGGCCTTATAATTGTAGCATTAGGCCGAAGCACAAGCCACGTTCTTGGTCTCCTTTACTGCCACATGCTGTAGTAGCACCCGCTCGTAGTCATACGGCATTACTCGCATAAACTTTGAAGTCGAAGTGTCCCAGTCATCCAACACCTTTTGCGCCTTCGGCGACTGTGTGCGCTCCAAATGTTTAGAGATGAGAACCTTCAGCTCTTGAATTTCGCCGTCCGACGCAGTTTCAGTTAGCGGGCCGACGCCAACCATGCCCATGTTACACTTGGACTGGAAACTATTGTCCTCGTCGTAGATGTAAGCGATACCACCGGACATACCAGCAGCAAAGTTGCGACCAGTAGAGCCGAGGACGACCACACGACCGCCCGTCATGTACTCGCAGCCGTGGTCGCCCACACCTTCTACAACCGCCTTCACACCGGAGTTACGCACGCAAAATCGCTCGCCAGCCTTGCCCGAAAAGAAAGCCTCACCACTCGTAGCACCATACAGCACAGCGTTGCCGACAATCACGTTTTCTGGGTTTGCACGCTCAGAGAACTTAGGGCTCGGGTACACCGACACCTCACCGCCAGAAAGCGCCTTGCCGACGTAATCATTTGAGTCGCCCTGCAGGTCAAGACGCACGCCCTTGGCAAGACCGAAAGCCAGACTCTGACCGCCGTGGCCCTTTAGCTTCAAGTGGATAGTTCCGTCAGGAAGACCCTCCTCACCGTACCGCTTACAGATCTCGTGCGAAAGCGTGGCGCCTAGCGTACGGTCCAAATTGGTCGCAATGTCTTCGATCACTACGGGGGTCTTGTTTTCCAGTGCGTCCTTGGCGATGGCGATCAAACGCATGTCAATGCAATTCTCGACCTCGTGTTCCTGTTCAATCTCCTTTTTTACACCAGCACCCTCATTCAGCGTGCTAGCGTTAATCAGGAGCGGAGACAGGTCCAGCTTACGGCTCTTGTAGTGCAAGGCATCCTGATTCACCTTCAAGAGGTCCGCGCGACCGATCAAGTCGTCCAGCTTGCGGAAACCTAAGCGACGCATGTAGTCCTGAACCTCTTCAGCAAGCATGAACATAAAGTTTACCACATGCTCAGGCTGGCCCTGGAACTTCTTGCGAAGTTCCGGGTCCTGCGTGGCAACTCCGACCGGACACGTGTTCAGATGGCACTTGCGCATCATGATGCACCCAAGAGCAATCAAAGGGCCCGTAGCAAATCCGTACTCCTCAGCACCAAGCAGAGCAGCAACCATCACATCACGACCGGTTTTTAACTGGCCGTCGGTCTGCAGCTTCACTCGCGAACGAAGATCGTTCAGCACCAGCGTCTGCTGTGTCTCCGCGAGACCCAACTCCCACGGAAGACCACCGTTCTTCACGCCAGTCCACGACGATGCACCAGTGCCACCATCGTGGCCCGACACGGTAATATGGTCTGACTTAGCCTTCGCCACACCGGCAGCAACCACACCAACTCCGACTTCAGACACTAGCTTCACCGACACTTCTGCCGACGGGTTCGAGTGTTTGAGATCGTGGATCAACTGAGCTAGATCCTCAATCGAATAAATGTCGTGGTGCGGTGGTGGGGAAATAAGACCCACGCCAGGCGTTGTGTGACGCATGGAACCGATGTAGTCGCTGACCTTGTGGCCAGGCAGCTCACCACCCTCACCTGGCTTCGCTCCCTGCGCCATCTTAATTTGCAGTTGGTCCGCGTTAGTCAAGTAGTTCATGGTCACGCCAAATCGGCCTGAAGCCACCTGCTTGATAGCCGAGCGACGAAGATTAGGCGGGTCTCCAGGCTTTGTAAAACGCTTGGAGTCCTCGCCACCTTCACCAGTGTTGCTACGTCCACCAAGGGTGTTCATTGCAATAGCGAGGGCCTCGTGTGTCTCCTGCGAGATACTCCCTAGACTCATAGCGCCCGTGTTGAAGCGCTTCACAATCTCAGCAACACTTTCCATCTCTTCTAGCTTGGGCATCTTGTCCTCGTCGACAAACTTGAAGTCCAAGAGGCCGCGCAGGTTCACGCGCTTACACAGCTCGTTTGTCTCCTCGACGTACTGCGCGTAGGCTTCGCGCGAGTTCTCGCGAGCAGCAAGCTGTAATGCCACAATATTCTTGGGCGAGTTGTAGTGCACCTCCGAGTTGTTGCGGAAATGGTAGCTGCCTGGGTTGCGGATCAGAGGGAGCATGTCTGAGTGGAGCGGGTATCCAGCCTGGTGAAAACGCGAGATGTCCGTGTATAGCGCCTCGAAGTCCGTGCCCTGGATCCGCGAGTTCGTGCCTTCGAAGCACATGCTAATGATATCGTCGCCCAGACCCACAGCCTCAAACACCTGCGCTCCTTTGTACGACTGAAGCGTGGAAATGCCCATCTTGGACATGACCTTCAAGATACCTTTGCCAACGGCAGCACGGTACTTGTCAAAGACCTCCGAGTTTGCCATTTCGATCTTCGAGTGAGCATACAACAGACCTTCGTCGTTCATCTTCTTCAGTGCCATCTCCGCCATGTGGGGACTGATAGCGTCAGCGCCAAAGCCCAACAGCGTGCAGAAGTCGTGCACTTCCTTGGCGTCACCACACTCCGTGAACAGGGCTACACTTGTGCGCTGCTGGGTTCGCAAAAGGTGCTGGTGCACAGCACCAACAGCAAGCAATGACGGCACTGGGTATCGGTTCACACCGGCCAGCTTGTCAGAGAGCACAAGAATGGGTGCCTTTTCGTTAATGAGTGCATCCGTAGCTTGCTCGCACAGACGATAAAGAGCCTCCACAAGGCCACGGGCGCCGCTGCCAGCAGCAAACGTAGCATCCAGGACCTTCGGCGTCCAATCCGGGTTGTTGGCGCTTTTTAGAGCATCCATTTCGGCGCTCGACATTACTGGTTGTTCTACCATTAACCGCTTGGCGTGCTTTGCAGTTGCATCTAGCACATTCGCAGCCGGACCCACAGGGCACATCAAGCTCATAACCAGCTCCTCACGAATGGGGTCGATCGGCGGGTTTGTCACTTGTGCAAACAATTGCTTGAAGTACTCAAACGGCAGCTTGGGCTGTTCCGATAGCACGGCGAGCGGCGCGTCGTTTCCCATGCTACCCAGAGGCTCCTTGCCGTATATCCCCATCGGCATCATAAGCAAGTCCATCGTCTCCGTCGTGAATCCAAACATATTCAAACGGCGGTTTAGCTCGGTATAGTTTGAACGGCGCTTGGACTGAGTCACCATATCCTTCTTGACTGCAGTCAGCTCCGACAACGACACAAGATTTTCATCCAACCACTTCTTAAAAGGACGGCTCTCGCTGACAGACTTTTTGACTTCATCGTCCGACACAATCATACCGCGCTCAAAGTCCACGAGGAACATCTTGCCGGGCTCTAGACGGCGTTTGTACTTGATGTCCTTCTCTGGCAGGTGCTCGAGCACACCAATTTCACTGGAAAGAAGAACGTGGTCGTCCTTCGTGACGTAGTAACGGCTCGGACGTAAACCATTGCGGTCCAGCGTAGCGCCAATGTATTTGCCGTCCGTGAACGCCATCATGGCCGGGCCATCCCACGGCTCCATGAGCAGCGACTGGTACTTGTACATGTCCTTCTTGAGCGGATCAATAAGCGGGTCGTTCTGCCAAGCCTCAGGGATCATCATCATCATGCCCTCTGGCAACGAACGGTTGCAAGAACTAGCCTTCGTGAGAATCTCCAAGACAGCATCAAAGTTGCCGGAGTCCGACTTGGAATCTGAGCACACGGGTAGCAGGTCCGACGTACGGTTACCAAAGTACGAACTGTGGAGCGTGCCACCACGGGCGTACATCCAGTTCTTGTTGCCACGCAACGTGTTAATTTCACCATTGTGACACATGATTCGGTTGGGCTGAGCGCGGTCCCACGATGGGAACGTGTTGGTCGAGAACCGAGAATGTACGAGCGCCACATACGACGTAAAATCCTTGGCAGACAAGTCATCATAGTACTGAAACAACTGTTCAGGGGTGAGCTGGCCCTTGTATGTAATTGTACGATTACTCAGTGAGTTCACGTAAAAATCAGAAAACTTTTTTTCATTCACAGATGTGACAACGTTGCGTAGTCGAAGTAGTTCCTTTTCAAAATCATCTCCCGATAGCTTTGGGTTCTCATTTAGCACCATGATCTGCTCAACATGAGGCTCTGAAGCAAGGGACGTAGCTCCCAATGTAGTAGACGTCGTGGGCATGGCCCTCCATCCTACGACTCTAAGTCCCATAGTTTCAGCCATATCATCAAATGTCTTTTTTGCCAATGGAATGTCGTTGGGTGAGTTCTTGTTGAAAAAGACGTTCCCAACTGCATATTTCTCCTTCTCCAAGTCCAGTAACTTGGCTGAGGCACCAAATTCTCCATCAGTAACGACACGCTGGAGAAAATCATGGGGTAAAGCGACCAACATTCCCGCGCCGTCTCCGGACGCGGGATCACAGCCACAGCCGCCACGATGCGACATGCGGACAAGCATTTCATTGGCCTGGACAACCGTCGAGCGTGATGGTTTCTTTTTAAGGCTCGCAATCATTCCGACACCGCAACTGTCCTTCTCTTCAAGCTGCCGATAGAGTCCCTTTTGTTCGAAAAGCGCACGTTTATCAGCCCCTTCGCCCGGGATCGAACGAAAGCTTCGACGCCACCAAGACGACGCATTGGCTACTAATGGGACACGACGGGAGGACGACGATGAGAGCGAGGCGACGGCTCGGCGATGAATGCGGAACATGCGAATGCGGAAACGGAGTGATGGTCGCAGCGCAAAATGCGGAATGCGCACCGACGAGAGAAGGTCAAAACAATTGGGAGTGAAGTAGGCTGAAGTGACGCGAGCAGAAACGAGTCGTGTAGATGAGACTAACCAATGAGAAGACGTGGATCTTGCCCTTTCTATATGTATGGAAATTGTCAATTCTGTTAATGGTCTCCACCATTCGTTTTTACAGTCTTCTGTGCAGTTGTAGCCATTTCATTCGTGATGGGCTGTGTAAGTCTCTAGTAACCTTTTGACGTAAGCAGCAAATCAATCAGCAGATCGATCCGTAGTAAGCAAGGAAATGGCAACTGTAGCGACTTGTATTGCATCATGCGTCATGATGAGAGCAATGATTTGCAGCAAGATATTGGCTGAGTCCTGGTTGAGTTGATGGGCAGAGGGTCAATTTTTTTCGGTCGTGTCACGTTGTAAAGCGGTTCCACTTGTCACAGCTTCAAGCGCAAGAAGTGCGACAAGCGATGGAGATTTGCTCTGTAGTTGCAGTTGTAGCGCCTGAGATCGTCAAACGGGTTTGCTGGTCAAGTGTTGTCCTCAAAAGGACAGACATGACGTTGACTATGCACAGCAGAAGAATCAGGAATCTCGTGCGCAATGGCTGCATGACACTCAACCGTTGGCAGGTGACTCCAGTACATGCAAAAGGATTTGGTCATTTCAGACGCTTTGATTCACCGCATGTGACAGTCGAGTGCCTTGTCTACGTTTAGCTTGGCGTTGGCCATCCATCGCTCCGTCTATCATTTACCGATCGATGGGGATGCAAGACCAGCGAACGACCCGCTTGTTCAAGTTGCAACTGCAAGTCTGGGAGGACACGGACACACTCTTACGTAATACCACATCTGGGTATGCTACAGAGTAGCAACCCATCACTTAAATCTGTACTTCCTGGGGCGCGATATGGACTCGACATGCAAAAGACATGTGACCGTCGCCAGCGGACATGAAAGACTCCTCCATATCTTTGAGACTGCGTCGAAGCATCCAAGTCTTGGGCGTACATCATCACGCAGTAAACGCGATCGAAAGTATCATCCGACCAAATGGTCTTGTACAAACAAGCAGCGTTATCGCGCGCGGCACCGGAGCTTTCCTCCGAGAGTGTGGACAGATATCAACCACATGTTCCCAGACAAAGCTGACATCGTTGGACGGGCCTGGACAAGAATAGGTGGATAGCGTGCTACGTTTGCGGGACCATGCTCTCGATTCAGCGGAACAGAAGTATCCATAAGCAGGAAAGTGCGTCCACGGAGCAAGAGGTAGCGGAAGTCAAACAAGTCCTTCTGCGCCAACTTCAAGCGGTCGCTATTAAGGAACAACGAAGAGATAGGGATCCGAGCACTGGAGTCTACCTCCGCCTAGCAGCGAAAATGTTCCAAGACACGATCGTCAATCAACAGCCGGCACTGCATATCCCTCGTAATCGACAGAAGACATCGCCTGGATTACTGACATGGCTGAAGACTTTCCAGACAACTTGCAAACCATAATTGGTAACAAGACAATCGGTTTCCACAAAAAAAGCTGCAACTACAAGAAACAACGACGTCGTGCCCAAACACGCCCAGCGGGGTCGGTGTGGTGTTCAGGTGTCTGTAGAGCAGCATGGAGGTTCCACTCTTTCGAAATTGGTCATAGTGTTGTTTTCCTAGTGAACACAATCACATGCACTTCAGATTTCAATACCAAACACATTACAAAGAACTTCTTCGTCTGGACGATGTTTTCGTGTCATACCTCTTGCCGTACAGCCTAAATTTTTCCACGACGAGTTATAGAAAATGTCGTCCAGTACAAGATGACATGCATCGCCGCAACTTCTTGCTCCATTTATCTCAATCACAGTATCCTGATAGCGATCGCGTCGTTAGCAGTCTCCAGTCTTGTATTGGTATAAGGACGTTCTCCATAACCATGTTGTACGGCTATTGTCCGTCGCTCACCATACCCTTTACCTGTTCGTCATGTTCGAGAGGGATGCTTGCGGATGCCTGTGTGGTTCACTAGAGTTCATAGCGCTCCTCGTTCAAGCTCATCCCATTTTATTCTCAGTTACAATTGAAGTCAAGTTCTTCTCAACTACAACGAAAGCGAAATCTGTGAGTCTCATGATGGCCCAACGGAGGAAACCATATCGGAAGAGGGCGGTTCTAAAAAACGGGACCAGGTCCTGTAACCCAATTGTAATCTCAAACCTACCTCACAGTCTTAAGCGCCTTGATGCTTGGCCTTGGCAGTGGCATTAACAGCTTTTTTTCCTTCAATGTCGCTTACTCGTGTGCCGTCGATACGTGCCGCTTCTTGCACCAAGTCCAGCAATCGCTGCTCGAGACCAGCAAACGGTAGCTTGTCGATGGCCTTGACCGTGAAAGCATTCTCGTAATGACTATCCTTGCCATAGCATAGTTTAAAACTGGGAAAATACTGACCGCCGCTGATGCCCTGCACTTTATACTCGTCCAGGTGCACCTCGTTCATGCGAAATTCCTGCAAGTGAGTCCAAACCTTTCTGTAAGTATCGCTTGATAGCTTATTATGGTTGCGATGTAGAAACAAAACATCACGCTCCAGGTCATGCTGCGCCATAGTGACCCCACAGAAAATACTCTTGTCAGCCAGTTTGAGGCCTGCTGAACCGGGTGGAGTATCAATCATGTGAAAGACGCTATTCGTCTTTAGCCACGCAAACCGATATAAGTCCTTATCTCCCCAAATAAGACGCAGACGCAGAAAGATGTCGGGGTGGAATCCATAATACATTAGCACATTGAGCGCTTTCTGATGCACAGTCCGGTCGATCATAACCTGTCCTGACTCCTGCTCAAACATATCCACAGGCTGCAAATGAAAGATCTCCCACACGAAACTATTGGAATGGATATTGAACATGGAATTCTTAAAATGCCAGAAGTCGGGCCAGAAAATAGCACCCTTATTTTGAAACTGCGGCGTGTCAAAGAGATACGTCGGGTCACGCACTGCAAAATTATCGGCATCCAAAAACAGCACTTGATCGAATGCGCTATAGTAAATCGCATACGGCTTTGTAAAAAACCTAACAGCTCGTGGATCTCGAATTTCCCGCATGTACGTTCCATATCGTCCAGCCAATTCACGAAGCAACGGGTGCACTACATTTACCTCCGAGCGCTTATACCACAACTCAATTGGCAAAGTGCAGCCCATATCTCGCAACGATTTCACCGATGCGTACACACTTTGCAGCAACTTTTTATAAATGACAATTGTAATTCCTCGTTTGTACGAAGAAGGCCGAGTCAAAGCAATCTGCCCTTCTTTTTGAAAATCCTTATCACTCATATCTCCCTGTGCTTGCTCAAACTTCTCATTCATCGCGATAGTTGCACGTACTTGATCGTCAACCAACTGCTGTCGACAATTGGCCAGTGAGAAGTTCAAATCATGTACATACTCGGTAGCAAGACGTCCGTAGTCCAATAAACTCGCAAATTCCTCGCATTTAAACTTCACATTCACACGAAGAGAATTACAGTGCATCTTCATCACGTGACGCACTTGACCCGTCATTTTATGTCGTAGCTCACAAAATCCACTGTCTCCACGACGTACAACGACGTGACAGGCTCTGTCATGACTGGGATCAGGTCTTCCATCAGGAGAACATTGTCGTCGAGCTTTCCAGCCTACACACTCATAGCTGCTTACCCACTCGTTCTCAATCTCATAATCAGGTGTTTTCTTGTCGTTCATACTGTTGTTCTTGCTGCGTAAATTGTGTACTGAGAGACGTGGGGGCAGCTGTAGATCTCCATACTGGACAAGTGATGTGATACTAATCAGGCCGATAGTACAGCTCATGACAATGAATAAGAACAAACCATACATCGTCTTCGGATACGTACGATTACCATTGCAGAGGCGGTGTTTAGTGTCCTTTTTGTCTTTACATTGTGTCGCGTGGGTGGACGCTACATGTGTCATGGGGAGTGTGTCAACTTTATGAATTTAGTGGGAATGGTAGCTGCTACATTTAGACATTATACCGGTATTTTTGTCACGTCGTCGCATGATACCCCGTACCTATTGAATGCAAACTTAACAACACGATTGGGCGTTTTGACCCGTACAAAACAAAAAAACCTAAATTGAAATTAACATCAACTGCGTAATGTGATAGTAATGTTTGCCAATGATTTGTGAATTTCTCTAAAAACATTTTTTTGTATTGTCTCGGTAGATTCTATAGTCATCATCTACATATATACTAAGAAAAAATAAACCTCTTTGACAATTCTTCGTCTATGTCTCACCCGTCGCCAATATAATTTCAGTCACTGGTGCTTGTTCTTGTGCCGGCCAACTTGCATTTCCTTCCTTATAGCTACTAAGCCGAAGAACATCAGCACCCGCAGTAGCAAATCGAAGAAGATCAGTCTCGAGGTTCTTGAACGAAAATGCGCTCATTGGTTTGAGCGTAAAGAGCTTTTCATAGTTGACATCTTTCCCAAAGCATCGTTTAAACTGTGGAAACGCTTTGCCACCATTTGCACCACGTATTTTGTAATCGAAAAGCGACGAAGTGCGCTTAAACTGCTGAATATGAGTCCACAAAAGCTGGTTGTTGTCGGTTGTAAGCTTCTGCGTATTACGATGGAGAAACAGCACGCGTCCACTTGGATCGTGTTGTACCATGGTGACCCCGCAAAATAGATCATAGTCGGCATGTTTCGTACCAGCGGAGCCAGGCGGTCCCGGTATCATGTAGAACGAGCTATTGGACTTGAGCCATGCAAATCGAAACAAATCCTTGTCACCCCATACAAGTTGCATCGTTTCGTAAGTTCGAGGAAGAGAAAAACCATAGTACATGAGCACGTTCAAGGCCTTGTAATGCATTCGTCGATTGATCAATACTTGGCCGCTTTCCTGTTCAAACATGTCCACATAGTCCAGTCCGAAAAATTCCCAGACGTAGCTATGCTTTTGAACGTTGAAAATTGTATTGCTTGGTTTCCAAAAGTCGGGCCAGAAGATCGCACCAGTCTCTAAGAATTCATGCGTGTCGAATAAATAGTTGGGATCACGCACTGCAAAGTTATCAGCGTCCAGCAGCAAAACATTGTCAAAGGCACTGTAAAAGATTGCATAAAGCTTTGTGTAAAAGCCTGTCGCCAGCGGGTCATCAATCACACGCAGGGATACATTCAACTCCTCGACCATAAGCTGCAGTAGTGGGTGCTCTACGTTCGTCTCCGACGTCTTGTACCACATCTCAATCGGCAGCATGCATCCCAAAGCGCGCAGCGAGCGCACACTCGCATATGCTCCTAGTAGCACTGATTCGTAGATTACAAACACAATTGCCCGATCAAATGACATTCCAAACTGTTCGACAAACTGTTCGACAGTCTCATTGCTCATTCCATCATTTTCAAGTGATTGTTTTGGCGTGTTGGACAACTGATTCGTTGTTCGGAGCACCTCTTGATTATGTGCGAGCGAGAAATTCGAGTCATGTATATAGTCCGTCGACAGGATACTGTAACTCAGTAGACTTGGAAACATATTGCAGTTAAAGTGCACGGCTGGTCTCAACGAGTCACAGCGCATTGCCAGTACTTGAGTCACCTCCTTTGTGTGTATATTACGCACTTCACAATAGCCTGATACTCCATTCGGAATCATTGCACTGCAATTCTTATCATTTTCGTCCTCCCGTTCTCCCAACGGCGTGCACTTGGCCGTCTGTCTCCACCCAATGCACTCGTAATCACTAAGATTACTCAACGTTTGTCTCATTTTTTGATTATTTATATTGATATCGACTGGAGCTGTAAACATGTGCGAGAGTCGCTCGAGTTTCGTCAGCATCTGATTCTCCTTCCACGTTGCAAAAAAACTTTGTGTAGAGCTTTCTCCACTGCTTCCTTTCTTCTTTGACATGGTCTCATTCTGTACCATGAAGCCCAATACAATAAGACACATCATACCAATCCCAAATGTGATGATAAATAGCCTCCAATACACATTCCACTTGCGACTTTTCACTTGAAAAAATTTCTTCCTCTTTTTTACAGGTGACGCTTCATCAATAGTACGGCTTGGAATTGTACGTTTAGCAAATATCTTTCGACGTTCACTTCCTCCACTTATGTAAATAGGAAGCAGTGTCCTCTTGCGTTCGACCATGACGTTATAATTTAATTTCCAATAAATTAAATTAAAATTTCCACGTCTTGGTTAAGAAATGTTTTGGGTACGTGAACGTCAATACGAAAGTGGCTCGTATGTGTTTTTCTAACAATGAGACACTAAGTTGCACAAAGATATCGTGTTCTATTTAAAAAACAATTCGACCTTCAAAAAAAGACTTCATGCTTTTATATTTTCTAAGAAACAAATATATGTAAAGTCGACTCCTGAACTTAAACTTTAGAATAAATTCAGAAAAAAGTTGGAATGAAGCAGTTAAACCTAGCGATGTACTACCTGTAACTGTAGAATATAGACATGCTTACGAATGCGTTAATAAGTAGGACCTTGATGTTGTTACGAGGAAATGATAAAGTAGTTCAGCGTTACATTGATGATCTGTATGTAATGCAAGTCCAGATTGCAACAAACAGTTGTACATTTACTCAGGCTAAAGCATTAGTAAGTGAGGTAGTCACCATAGCGATGGTGATATCCATGACAACGGAATGAATACCAAGGAGTGATGCTGAGATACATGAAGGAGCTGACGGCGTCTATATGAAGATATGTGCTAGTAAGGTATTGCCGTTCGACGTGGCTTCGACAGGAACAACTAAGTGGTTTAAAATGGCATCAAGATTTACGTCAAGACACAAGAAGATGAATTTTCGAATTGACACGAGTTCCACGTAAATAAAAAATAAGGAGGTTCCTGCTACTGCAACCATTCGCCACCGCCAGATGCATTACCATCACCTTACCAGTTCCGAAGCGGAGGAGTAGCCCGCACGTTTTCCGCGTTAAATTGAGTCAATAACTTGCCTTTGCTTTGAGCAAACGCGGCATACACGTCCGCTTCGAAGCATACAATGGCAATTGTCGCCTTCCAGTCTGCGGAACGCATGTAGCGCTGAATGGCACACAGTGCAAACCACGCGGCTTTATCAACCGGCATGCCATTGTTCCCCGTCGAAATGGACGCCATGGCCACACAGCTCAAATTTTCTGTCTGGATGCAGCGTAATACACTTCTGTACGTCAGTTGCAAATCTCTCAAACAGTGTGGATTGAATCCGCTCGGACCGACACAGTGAATAAGCTTGGCAACACCTGCATCAAAGCCCGGTGTGACATGCACTTGTCCAACTTCCAGTCGGACATCGAGCGTCCGAACATGCTCACTCAGACCTTCTCCTGCTCGCCGAAATATCACTGATGCCACACCAGAATGAGGATTCCTCATAAAAGTCGCTGTCGGAAAAGCCAATGCATCCAGTGGTTGTTTCCCCACCATCTTAATATCACCGATATCTCCTCTTATTATTTGCACACATGCATCAAACTGGATCAACTGCTCTAACGACCGCAAAAACTCTTTAAGATCGGGGCAAGCTGCATTCAGCAATTTCTGACTTGGCGCATCCGCAAGCCACGTCGTCGATGTCCCCTGCACCGTCTCCTCATCCGTTCCTATGGTCATTTGCTGTACTTGACCCGATACAACAGTATCACTGTGCCCAGTTCTAGAACGAGAAGGAGAAGAAGAAGAAGAAGAAGAGACAATCGCTTCGTCTACCTCATCGTCTTCGTTCTCCAGATTTTCCTCCAATAAAGAAGCATCGTCTTCTACGTCCATGTCACCCTCCAGCAGCTCCAAAAGATCCGGTTCATTGTCATTAATTTCTTCTTCTTCTTCTCCTTCTCCATAATCTCCATAATCGCCATCTTCTTCTTCGTTCTCATTCTCATCATTAAACTGCTCATCAGATGGCAAATTCCCCGCAAAATGTATTACCACCAGCTCCTTCCAAAGTGTCTCATGCGTCAAAACTTCTCGCCACGTCTCATCCACTGCTAAAACTTCCAGAAAACTTGCTAAAGAGGCCAAATCCAACATCGCTAGAAGCCCTCGTACCACCAATTCCACATCCAGCACACGGCCAATTGCATGAGAAGATGATACAGCATCGGACAGACGCTGACGTTTGGCTATAGGCGCGTCATTAAGCGCGATATCCGCGTCATTCACCCGTGGTGTCGTCATGGCGAATGAAAGAGGAGAATTCGACAAAAGAAGAATGTGATTGGCTAGAAATTGTAGAAAGATTGGAAAGGTACATTGTACTCATCTGACATTTCCTTCGTTTTTTATTGGTTCATATTATTCTTTTTCCAGCATTTCAAGACCTGACAATATTGATCGTATAATTTGTTCAAAACACTCTTATATACACCTCTAATATCGTATACACCTTTTCAAATCGATTGGTTTATCCCTCCCGACGGTTCCTAACAAGTTCCAACCTTCTCCAAGAATGCGCTGCTGACGATCGATCGATCCTTTCGTCTGTCTGTCTGTCTATCTGTCTATCTATCTTCCTCCTCTTTTTAAATGCCAGGGTCTCACTCACACCGTCAATTGGGCATCTTGTCCGTCGCACTTATTACATATTTTAACGTCAGTGGTGGACCATGGGGTAGTGAACCCGTTTTAGCAGCATGTGGACCATTTATTGGGATTGTAGCAGTTATAATCTTCCCCTGGGTCTGGTGTTTGCCTTTATCCTTAACATTTGCGGAGCTTTTTACGGCATTTCCAACCGATGGGAGTTTTTGTACATGGGTGGGTGTTGCATTTGGTCGACCCATGGGTTTTCAAGTGGGTTTCTGGTCCTGGACCTCTGGCGTGATTGATAACGCAATCTACCCCTGTCTCATTGTGGATACATTACTGGCTCTTACGACCTTTGAGGATACAGAGACCGACACTGATACTAATGAAAGTGTAGCATGGCGTATCTTTGCTTTGCGTGCCGTTTTTGCACTGCTTTTTATGCTGCCAACATTAAGCAGTATTAAGGTCGTAGGACAGACATTATTGGTGTTAGGAGTCTTAATCTTTCTACCCTTTACAGTCTTAGTCGTATATGCTGTCCCACTGATTCAACCAGCCAATTGGTTTGTCATTCGAAAAGATGTACGTACGTTGTGGTACCTAGTTGTCAAGTGTTATGGAGGACAAGAATGTAACTAATTTATTTGTATTATTGTATTGCAGCGTGATTGGGGACGATTGTTGAGTTCATTGTACTGGAACTATAGTGGGTTTGATGCAGCAGGGGCATATGCTGGAGAAATTGAGTCACCAAAGACAACGTATCCAAGAGCAATGGTGCTTACGGTCGTGATGATTGCGTTTACGTATGAAGTAGTTGGATACTTGATGTGTGAAGATGGAATGGGCTTATAATAGTATGTTGTCATTGCTTGTTGTAGATATATCATTCCATTCATTGCAATTTCAGGTGCAGACATGCCACACTACACGACATGGGACGATGGATCGTACTCGATTATTGCACAAACAATTGGTGGAACGTGGCTTTGCATTTGGGTGCTCATCTCGTCTGTGTTTGGTAACCTCGGGCTTTACGTTGCTGAAATGGCCAAGGATGGATTTCAGCTTGCAGGCATGGCTGACTCAGGCTTGGCACCACCATACTTCGCTCAGTATGTTTCTCTACTTTACAGCGTGCTACAACGCAAAGAATGTGTTGCTAACCTTTTTGTTGTGGCTGTTGCATTCAGACGCCACCCAGATACAGGCGTACCACGACGAGCGATCCTTGTGGCATTCTTTATTATTGTGTTCATGGGCATGTTTGATTTTGACACGATCTTGGGGGTAGATAACTTTCTATCGGCGCTGTCGTCTCTTGTGGAGATGAGCGCTGCTGTGCGTATGCGCTTCTCACATCCTGAAATCGAACGGCCATACCGTGTGAACCTGTCGGACCGTTCGCTGGTGGTGGCCATGATACTGCCATTTACACTAGGAATTTTTATCATGGTGAACGAATTGACCAAATCATGGACCAGCTTGACGCTCAACATAGTCACGCTTTTGTTCGGCTACCTCGTTCAGAAGTACATTGAACAGTATCCTTACCACAAGTACTCAAAGATTGTCGGATTTCCACTGCAATTGACCGATCTATCTGAGGAACTCTAGCTTGTCTTTTGCCCAATCGACAATTATCGGGCTATTGTCGCCAACTCTTTGGATTGACGTCATTCTTCAGACAAAGAAGCAAAAGACAAGTATTCAATACAGACTGTTTCTTCTACATGTATATAGTCCATCTAATGCCATCGTTTTATAATTCTTTAGAGGCGTTGATTGCAGCTTGCTCAATTGGTGCGCTACGTACCGGGACTGCTTATAATCTTCTTCCTATCGAGAACGTAAGGAAAGAGCTCATCGTCAAGCGCTGCAACGAGAATTCTTGAATGTGTGTGAAGCGAGGAGGCTTCACAATAGTTGATGCCTTCTACCGTAGCAAATTGCGATACAAGGACTTCAACACCGCCACGAAATGCTTAGGAACGCAGATTTTGGTTCATGTTGCACTGCTGCATGCACAAAGCTTTTGCGCATTGCTTTCCGTCTAGTAACAACTAATTCAATGGAGAATTGCTACAGAAGATAGATTGAGGTGTGACAGTACCCAGTTGACATTGATACACGTGGAAGCTGACCCAATGTGATATGTTGTTAGTCAAAACTTGGGCTATCAGATATCATACGAAACTCTTTGTAGTGTCTTACAGCGCCTTCGACAATCTGTTGTTACAAACACTGACTAGTATGCACCTATCTGTTTTCCACGGAGTCGTATCCTGCGAAACGTTTCGCTGGATGCGAACAGGATAGGTTTTGACATCATCTTGTTTTTTTCAGAAGAAGGTGCTGGCGATGAGAATAACATCGTGCGTCACACTCCTAGCGCAAAAAAGATCGATAGCTTGTACCAACCGCAACATCTTGATCAAACGAGGAGGGCTGTCTTATCCAAAAACGGTAGATTGCGGTCGCCGTTCGTCTTGGTCTTGAAATCACACTGTGCCATAATCTGCTCAAACATCGTTTCTAGCTTAAGTTTGTTCGAGTTTCAAAGTCAAAGCGAAAGCCTCTGCAGTCGTCACGGAGTGGGGTATATAGCACAGGTGACATCCCATACAGATACGTTTCTTTTTGCCACTCATAGATGGCTTGCAGGGTCACCAATTGATGCACAGTGTTCATGATATTGCACAACTTGATAACGAGAAATGAACATCCATTGGTTTCGTATTGCTATACTTTTCTACGCTACATTCTTTGAACAGATCTGCCGACGGTCTGTTGTCTACTTCTCGTATGGCACAAATGTTCTGCACAAAACTGCTGTGCAAGACTCTTACTTGCCCTTTGACTTGTCCGAGGCATCGGACTTGGCTTCTTTCGGCTTTGACTTCGATGACGAATCCGACGTCTTGTTCTCCTTCTTTGCCGACTCGCTTTTGGCACTGTCCGTAGATACCGTCGCAGATTCCTGCTTGCCAGCACCAGTACCCGACGCAGACTCGTAGCCAGAGTAGCCGTAGCTGGGGTAGCCGTAGCCGTTGTCGTAGCTGGGGTAACCATAGCCGTAGCCAAAGGACGAGTAGTAGTCCGGGTAGTAGTCACCATAGCCGAAGTCACCGCCGTACGATGAGTAGTAGTCGGGGTAGTAGCTGTCGTAGCCCTTGCCATAGCCCTTGCCGTAGCTCTTGCCGTAGCTGTAGTAGTCATTGCCATAGCCCTTGCCATAGCTTTTGCCGTAGCTGTAGTCTTTGCCGTAGCCTTTGTCACAGTCTTTGCCGTAGCCTTTGCCGTAGCCTTTGTCATAGCTGTAGTAGTCGTTGCTGTAGCCTTTGCCATAGCTGTAGTAGTCGATGCCGTAGTAGTCATCGTTGCAGTCATCGCCATAACTCTTATAGCCGACGCCCTTGTAGTCATAGTCATCGTGACCGTAGCCATAGTCCTTGTAGTCGTAGTCAACGTGGCCATAGCCATAGCCCTTGTAGTCATAGTCATCGTGGCCGTAGCTTTTGTAGCCGTATCCCTTGTAGTCGTAATCGTCTTTCTTGTATGCATCGTGGCCGTAGTTGTCATGGCCATATCCCTTGTGATCGTAGTCGTCTTTCTTGTAGTCGTCCTTCTTGTAGTCGTCCTTCTTGTAGTCGTCCTTCTTGTAGTCATCCTTCTTGTAGTCGTCCTTCTTGTAGTCGTCCTTCTTGTAGTAGTCTTTCTTGTAGTCTTCCTTCTTGTAGTAGTCCTTCTTGTAGTCGTCCTTCTTGTAGTAGTCCTTCTTGTAGTCGTCTTTGCCGTAGCTGTAGTCCGAGGACTCAGTAGCCTTGGCGTCTTCAAGGCGACGACGGTGGTAGTGACCCTTGTCATCATGGTGATGCTTTTTGTGGTAGTCATGCTTCTTATGGTGGTCATGCTTGTGCGAGTGCTTGTGCGAGTGGTGTCCGTAGTCCTTGTACGAACCAAGTTTACGATGTGGGGTGAGTCCAGGAGGGCCACGGGCGTCGGTCGCCTGCATGACAGAGGCGACGACGCACAGGCCGAGCACGATGGTCTTGGAGTGCATCTTGCAGATAGAGAGGTTAGTGTTGTTTTCTTAGTTGGGTTTGCGTGCGATTGCTTTCTAATTGCGGAGTTGAAAGCAAACCGAAAAGTGAGAGAGCGAGAAGTGGCCGAGGACACTGCAGTATGCAAGGATATTGTTGCAGAGGGGGTTTGACTTTGGCTAAGGTATTGTCATGGATGTTGAAGTGATGCCATAGAAGTCGTGAATCTTGTTTTGTCTTGGTCAAAGTGATTGATCCGAGAATCATCGAGAGAATCACTATGTGCCTTGACAACTGAGGCTGTTTCAACCGCGACTCAAGTTGGCGAACCCGAAAGCAAAAAATGAGAGTACATCAACCAGTGACTACATGAAAGAGACTGGCCATGTGTTCTCTGCATTATTCATAAATTGGTCGGCTAGCGTCGTCAAGCCAAACTACGAGACTTGGGGGTTGCATCAAGTCTAGTTTTGTAAGGATTTATTAAGAGACTGGTTGCATCCCATATAATACGAGGTTCTTAGGTTACTGTAGCCTACAGCATTTTCGATTCCCTCTGTCCGTCATCTTTTTACTTTGAAGAAAGTATTTTTCAATTCAAACGCTACTAAGCAAGCTAACAGGCTGAAGGTCAAGTATTCGACCAATTTATGAATAATGCAGAGAACACATGGCCAGTCTCTTTCATGTAGTCACTGGTTGATGTACTCTCATTTTTTGCTTTCGGGTTCGCCAACTTGAGTCGCGGTTGAAACAGCCTCAGTTGTCAAGGCACATAGTGATTCTCTCGATGATTCTCGGATCAATCACTTTGACCAAGACAAAACAAGATTCACGACTTCTATGGCATCACTTCAACATCCATGACAATACCTTAGCCAAAGTCAAACCCCCTCTGCAACAATATCCTTGCATACTGCAGTGTCCTCGGCCACTTCTCGCTCTCTCACTTTTCGGTTTGCTTTCAACTCCGCAATTAGAAAGCAATCGCACGCAAACCCAACTAAGAAAACAACACTAACCTCTCTATCTGCAAGATGCACTCCAAGACCATCGTGCTCGGCCTGTGCGTCGTCGCCTCTGTCATGCAGGCGACCGACGCCCGTGGCCCTCCTGGACTCACCCCACATCGTAAACTTGGTTCGTACAAGGACTACGGACACCACTCGCACAAGCACTCGCACAAGCATGACCACCATAAGAAGCATGACTACCACAAAAAGCATCACCATGATGACAAGGGTCACTACCACCGTCGTCGCCTTGAAGACGCCAAGGCTACTGAGTCCTCGGACTACAGCTACGGCAAAGACGACTACAAGAAGGACTACTACAAGAAGGACGACTACAAGAAGGACTACTACAAGAAGGAAGACTACAAGAAAGACTACTACAAGAAGGACGACTACAAGAAGGACGACTACAAGAAGGATGACTACAAGAAGGACGACTACAAGAAGGATGACTACAAGAAGGACGACTACAAGAAGGACGACTACAAGAAGGACGACTACAAGAAAGACGACTACGATCACAAGGGATATGGCCATGACAACTACGGCCACGATGCATACAAGAAAGACGATTACGACTACAAGGGATACGGCTACAAAAGCTACGGCCACGATGACTATGACTACAAGGGCTATGGCTATGGCCACGTTGACTACGACTACAAGGACTATGGCTACGGTCACGATGACTATGACTACAAGGGCGTCGGCTATAAGAGTTATGGCGATGACTGCAACGATGACTACTACGGCATCGACTACTACAGCTATGGCAAAGGCTACAGCAACGACTACTACAGCTATGACAAAGGCTACGGCAAAGGCTACGGCAAAGACTGTGACAAAGGCTACGGCAAAGACTACAGCTACGGCAAAAGCTATGGCAAGGGCTATGGCAATGACTACTACAGCTACGGCAAGAGCTACGGCAAGGGCTATGGCAAGGGCTACGACAGCTACTACCCCGACTACTACTCATCGTACGGCGGTGACTTCGGCTATGGTGACTACTACCCGGACTACTACTCGTCCTTTGGCTACGGCTATGGTTACCCCAGCTACGACAACGGCTACGGCTACCCCAGCTACGGCTACTCTGGCTACGAGTCTGCGTCGGGTACTGGTGCTGGCAAGCAGGAATCTGCGACGGTATCTACGGACAGTGCCAAAAGCGAGTCGGCAAAGAAGGAGAACAAGACGTCGGATTCGTCATCGAAGTCAAAGCCGAAAGAAGCCAAGTCCGATGCCTCGGACAAGTCAAAGGGCAAGTAAGAGTCTTGCACAGCAGTTTTGTGCAGAACATTTGTGCCATACGAGAAGTAGACAACAGACCGTCGGCAGATCTGTTCAAAGAATGTAGCGTAGAAAAGTATAGCAATACGAAACCAATGGATGTTCATTTCTCGTTATCAAGTTGTGCAATATCATGAACACTGTGCATCAATTGGTGACCCTGCAAGCCATCTATGAGTGGCAAAAAGAAACGTATCTGTATGGGATGTCACCTGTGCTATATACCCCACTCCGTGACGACTGCAGAGGCTTTCGCTTTGACTTTGAAACTCGAACAAACTTAAGCTAGAAACGATGTTTGAGCAGATTATGGCACAGTGTGATTTCAAGACCAAGACGAACGGCGACCGCAATCTACCGTTTTTGGATAAGACAGCCCTCCTCGTTTGATCAAGATGTTGCGGTTGGTACAAGCTATCGATCTTTTTTGCGCTAGGAGTGTGACGCACGATGTTATTCTCATCGCCAGCACCTTCTTCTGAAAAAAACAAGATGATGTCAAAACCTATCCTGTTCGCATCCAGCGAAACGTTTCGCAGGATACGACTCCGTGGAGAACAGATAGGTGCATACTAGTCAGTGTTTGTAACAACAGATTGTCGAAGGCGCTGTAAGACACTACAAAGAGTTTCGTATGATATCTGATAGCCCAAGTGTCTTTGATGATGCGCAAGTATGTACCATTTTGCTCGTAGTAGCGGGTGTGGAATGTTTTGGGTCTTCTAATCAAGTATCAAAGCTTAGTGGCAAGAGAGAGAGTCAATATATTCAAGGAGCAATTTGTTTGGACCCCTCGTACGCCAAGTTCCAGAGCCAATATCGCAGGTAAGTCTATCCTCTGTGCTCGCATTGAACAATTTACTGGAACCCATTACGATGGTTGTTTTCAATGGAACACAAGTGTCGGGCATCAACTTGTATCGTTCAATATTCTTTTGAGCCTTTTACTGCGTCTTTGGGAGCACATTTGACACCTACAATGATAACTGAAGCGTGTGTAATAATGGATTTAGGTACAATTGCTCTGCAGTATGAGGATCTATGTCGTGTGCGCGTGTTTTGTTTTGTCGTGTTCCGGTTTCAAGCTAGAAGATCAATTATTGCAGAGGTAGACGGGGCATGTCGTACCTCGTTGCCACACCATTTCCCACTTAACACTAAACTTCAACCAAACCGACCATCACTCTTGTAGTTCCCCCTTTACGTTGCTGTAAGCCCTTTTAAGTTGCGTTGTGATCACCACCATCACTCCCCGTGTCATATCTAAAACCGACCATTCCGCACTAAGCTCAACCTCCTTTCGCTGCGCCTTCAACCATGGGCATCCCACGCTTCTATCGCTACATGTCGGAGCGATATCCGCTTATAAACCAGCCAATCTCGGACGTATCGCTGCTGCCTGAATTTGACGCCTTCTATCTCGACATGAACGGTATCGTACATAACTGTACCCACTCGGACGCTGCCGACGATACGCTCAACTCGCTGTCGCTCGAGGCGCAGCTACACGGTATATTTACGTATCTGGACCGTCTCATAACGCACATTATCAAGCCCAAGCAGCTTGTGTATATTGCAATCGACGGCGTAGCGCCTCGAGCCAAGCTCAATCAACAACGTTCGCGTCGTTTTCGGGCCGGTTTAGAACGTCAAGAGGCCATGGAAAAGGAGAGACACATGCAGATTAAGCTTGAAGACGAGAAGAATGGCCACAAGGCCAAACCCGTGACCAACAAGTTTGATTCGAACTGTATTACACCAGGCACTGAGTTTTTGAGCAATTTGTCGCAGCATTTGGTCTATTTTGTCCGTCAAAAGATGAAAAATGATCCACTTTGGGCCCGGCTTGAAGTGTTCTTTAGTGGAAGTGAAGTACCAGGGGAGGGAGAGCATAAGATTGTCGAGTTTATTCGTCACCGTAAGATGGCGAGTAATTATGAAGCCAATATGCGTCATTGTATGTATGGCAGTGACGCCGATCTGATGCTCTTGGGCTTAATGACTCATGAACCTCATTTCACGCTAGTAAGAGAGACAGTCGTGTGGGGAAGTCAACATAAGAAGGTTGCGGCCAAACAGATTCAAGAGCAGCAGTGGCAGTTGGTACATTTGAGCTTATTTCGGGAGTATCTCATGATAGAGATGAATGTGCAACCACCACTGGATGGAGAACGAATGCTGGATGATTTTATTCTACTGACGTTTCTGCTGGGAAATGACTTTATACCACATAGTCCGACGTTAGAGATCAGTGAAGATGCAATTCCGTTGTTGCTAAAAGTATATCGGGAGTTGCTCGAGAGTCACAAGGGAAATTGTTTGACGCTGAATGGAAAGATTACAAATGTCAACTTGCTTCAGAAACTTTTTCAGATTATTGGCAACCAGGAGGAGGAAATTCTCATTAACCGTGCGATGGAAGAGAAACGACGGTCAGGACGTCGGGGTGGGAGACAGCAAGCCAAACAGCACGATGTTAATGCCGAGGAAGTACAAAAAGCTATCACAGCTCTTCGTGGCGATGATGAGGATGACCACCCACCACCGTTAGTAGAAGATGAAGAGGAAGCCGAGCGTGCATTGCTAGAGGCGCTGGATGGCCGTGATGACACGATAATGTCATTTGAACTCATGAAGAGCGATCGTGAGGTGCTTATGTTAGTTGGCAGTGAGAGTTTTCAGGACACAAAGTGGAATTACTACGAGCGAAAATATGGCATTAAACGCGGTAATGGCGACGCTGACAACAAGGACCTGGAAGAAGTGAAAAAGGCCTACATGGAGGCATTAGTGTGGTGTCTCGCCTACTACTTCCAAGGTCCGCCATCGTGGGCGTGGTACTACCCTTACCATTACGCCCCAATGATTTCCGATCTGACGGACATTGAAGACATGATTACACATGTAAAGTTTGATGAAGACCCGACGATTGCAGGCCCGTTGCTACCGTTCGAACAGTTGATGTCAAATCTTCCGTCCTCAAGCGCCAACCTCGTGCCGGAGCCGTACAGATACCTTATGGTCTCTCCTTTATCACCAATTAAACATTTCTACCCAGAGACGTTCGAAATTGACATGGAAGGTAAGCGCAACCCTTGGGAAGGCGTGAACTTGCTGCCTTTCATTGACGTGGCATTGCTAAAGCAGACTATCGCTCAATACTGCTTAGACTCTCAGTTGACTGAGATCGAAAGACGACGTAACAAATTACAGCTTTTGCCACTTCGAATTGTAAGAGATTTGAATGTGCTAGACACTTTAAAGTCAACCTTGCCAGGTGCTACTGGATTTCCTGATGTCTTATATTGCAACACACGGGTGGAGGACTATACCCTGCCAATAATTCCTGGTGGCGAGTTCCAGAGTAAGCGGATGGAAGGTGTTGTGCTTCCACTTGCTGGTTTTCCGTCGCTTCATTCGGTACGCCTTGAAAGTACTCGCATTGCCAGTGTCGGATTAAATTGTTTCGGTATGAGTTCGCGTAAGTCAAGTCTCATTCTCCAGCTTCCCGCATCGGGGAAGTTGAATGATGGAGAAAGTGCTAGTGCTGACGAGATCAACCCGCGTGAGATTCTGGGTACTACTGTCTTGGCGAATTGGCCGAACCTTCACGAAGCCCTCGTTGTGTGTATTAGCACGCAATCTGGCGAATACCGTCTGATGCAGTCTAGCCGCAAGCACAATAACCACGGCCATATTCAGAATGAAGTCGTCTTCAGGCCGAGTGGCCCCGACGAAAAGAGCGCGTGGGCGCACTATGCTCAGACGGAGGTGGTCAAGTTGCTGTCTGGTCGCGGACTTCCGGGCAGTGGTGGCATCGACCTGGGCAGGACTGGAATCACTACGATACTGCATGTATTGCCTCTTCAAGGTATGGTGTCAAATCCGCTAACTGGTGCTATTGAGAAAAAGTTTGGAGATACGGAGGCACTTGTGCCCGCCCAGCTTACCGTTCGTAATCGTAAGCTCCTAGATGCACGGTTCGAGGAAACCACCTCGCCGCCGTTGCACGAGCGATTCCCTGTTGACTCCAAAGTGCTTATTACACGTGGCAAGTGGCTCGGCTGTACTGCTATTGTGCGTTCACAGGATGAGGAGCAACACACTGTTACCGTCCATGTGAACACAATTGATCAGGAGCCGCCGTTTGGCTACATAATCGCACAAACGATCACAGAACGGTTTTTTCCGGGGTATTTGGTGGCTCAGAAGCTAATGATCTCAGCGTCAACTTTGGGCTTGATCACCGGAAGCGTAATTATCAAGCCCAATGGGGCTGATATTGGATTGAACATTCGCTACCGCAAGGAGTTGCTTCTTCCTGGCTATTGCAGACTTGTCAGACGCGACAATAGCAGCTTCAGCTCTGGCGATGTTTGGAGAAAGGGCGATATTGTAAAAATTGTGGGGAGCAGCGGCAGTGATGATTCCCGCTCGGACGCTTTGCAGAATAGAGATGGCAGTGTTACTGCTTGGGAGTACACTGAGCGTGCGGTGCAGCTGATTGCATCGTACCAGAAAGAATTTCCCGAGATTGTTCGGAATTTGAGTCGGCTACCCTTCGCAACAACTTACCAAGGTAGGAACGTTTTCGGAATTGATGATGCCGAACGTGTGGAGGTTAAGATAGAAGCAGTAAAGCAGTGGATCGAGCAGCAGCGTTTGGGTACGAGCGAGCATTCTAAGCATATTCCGGTGACATCGGAGTACATTGCTTCGAACGCAATTCGTGCTATGGAAGCCGCTGGAGCTTTACGTGCGTCAGAGCGCGCTAAAACTACTGACGTGCAAAGATGTGCACCTGTTGTGGCAACTGTCAGTACTGCGGATTTGTTTCGTCCGAACCCGCTGGTGAACCAGGATCTAACGGGGCACGAAGTATCGCAGCGATCATCGCTTAACCAAGGTGCGCCAATTTTGGGGGACCGCGTGATTAATATCAGTGCGCGTGGGGTTCCGTTGGGTCACCGTGGTACTGTTGTAGCTACCCACATAAGCAGTCGGTGCGTGGAGGTACTCTTCGATGAGAGCTTCACGGGCGGAGAGGCACTCTACGGAACTACCAGTCTTGACCGCGGCAAGATTGTGGCCTGGAACAACTTGCTGTGCGTATCGGTTCCGCCAGGCAGCAAAAAACAACCGAATAACAAATGCTCGAAGCAGGGCCAGAATGGAAATATGGCGCAGTATAACAATGGTGCCGATCAGCGGCGTTACTCAGGCGGAATGTCTGCTATTAGCACAAATGGCCGCATGCTTAAGAAAAGTTTGAAATCAAACGATAAGGCTCCTACGTTGTTGGTTCCGCCGCCAATTCCCAGCGCAATACCAGCGCCTCCGAATCCAGAAAAGATTCAGCAGCTGATTCAAAAATGGAGCTTTGATGGTGAAATTGCTACTCAGGGTAGCGGAAAAGCATTGCCCACTATCGAGATCCCAAAAGTATCAGCACCACCGCTACCGACGTCGGCATCCATGCCAACGGCAGAGCAGAAGCTGGCTCCATCCGTCGCAGCACTGTTTTCGGCGGCGGAGGCTGCGGCTATAGCGCCTTCTCCGCCTAACGCATTGATGGGGCTGTTCCCTTGCACGTACAAGCAATCCTCCGGTAAGCCTTCGCTGCTTACTCCTCCTCTACCGAGTGGAACCCCGACGCAGTTTATACCATCACCTCCAGCGTTCTATGCGACGCAGCTACCGCAACCGCAGCTCGTCTTGATGCCCGACGGATCGTATGCTCCAATGTATGCGCCACCACTCTCTGGAGCTTTCTTGCCGTCCCAGACGCCATTTCCAGTTCCGCCCAGCATAGAAGAGTATATCCCTGGTGGAGCTGCTTTTCGCTTAAAAACCGACAAGAGGTTGAGCGCAACGACGGAGACTGCATTTGACGGATCCAAGTGGAAACACCGCAGTCATGGCGGAAGGGGCAAGCAGGGGACATTGCCGAAGAGTGGTGGGAACGCCATAGTGAAGCAGACAGGTGCTCAATCGACTCATAGAAAATGGGTCCCAAAGCAGAGCGGTGACGCGAAGGGCCGACCACAGCTTTTGCTCCCATCTCAGGTTATGCGTCAACAGAAGCCTCAGCAGTAGCGGGACAACAAATACCAATTGAGAACGGGAGATACAATGCGAGTGAACATACGGGAATTAGCTCGAGATTGTGTTAACGATTGTCGAAATACACTGCTCAGCTTTATCATGCACTTCCTTAGCTGTCTGATACTAAAGACAAGACACTTAACAACGAGATTGTATTTTTTCTCTCTTTATCATCAAAAGTTGAACGACATGACCACCAGACCAATAATGCACTATGCTTCTACTGTTTCACATTGCAGTGTCAATAAAAACGAGTCTCATCATTACATTTGCACGTGTCTGCTATGATTCTAAATAATGACAAGCTAATACGGCTAGCGTACATCGAGACACCAGAAATTATGTCCTTGCGCTTCTAATCATTCAACATTGCTGACTCGACGTCTTCCTGCTTGAGTTGAAAAAAAATAAGTGCCAGGGGGCGTTCATTGTTTATGATGATACGTTTACTGGTATCAGTTCATATTAAAGACCACGTCCCAACAATGAGAGGAGGACACCGTTCTCCTTTATCCGACTATCTATCCGGATGCCGAAGCAGTGTAAACATGTCAATGACCCCTTCAAGCACTGTCGTTTCACAACGTTCGATTCATTCCGACCCTGAGAACCGCCGCGCAATCTGCTTTCTTCCAGGCATTTTCAGATCAGAGATCGATTGATGCAATTTCAACTTCGTCGGCAATGTGGCATCGTCTTTCTGCCCTTTACGGTTCTAGTCAACGTTCAGTGGCAGTCAAGCATGCCAGGTTTAGTCTGACGACTTGATGGCCTTTCGCGTTGGAGCTGAGCTTTTAATGAATTGACAAATACATTGCACCATAAGGTTACCATGCTCAGTCGTTCCTGCACTGGCCACCAATAACCAAAAAGTTACGTTTTGCTTGCTTCATTACCGTCGTGCGACAGCCTTCATGGGTTCCGACGTTGGCGTTTGTGACCGTTGCAATCTCAACTTGTTTACATCTAACTTAAGCAAACCAGCTTGAGCACGTTGCACCATCGTTTCAACTTTAGGGACGCGGATTTACGTCAGAATTCCTCAACACATTAGGATCATCACACCTCTACTCATTCTAGATTTGGCAGTACACCACTCGCAGTGACGGACTCAACAGGAAAGTCAGCTCAATGCGTATCCACCATCGCGCACCAAAGTCTCCGGAATTTACGACCCCATTTGCACCGCTTCAACTAGCGGCAGAAGATGAGGCACAGCTTGAGGCGGTAGCACGGATTTTCGTTCAGAACACTGTCATTCAGTATGAAAAATTCATCAAGCAGGACCGTCGAAAGGTAGACGGTAACCACTGGAAGTGCATTAAGCAGGAGCGTGAGCTTCGGGTATTTCTTCAGCGCCGGCGAAAGGACGTCGAGCGCCGCATGCGTCGACAAGTGCGACTCCGAAACTTCCGAAACCGAAGCTCAAACGCAGCGGATTTTTCCGGCACGGAATTGTGTAATCCTAGCATAGGTAGTCGCGACAGCAGTTGCTGCAGTGTCTCGAGCCTCTTCAGTCGCAAAACAGGCAGCTTTTCGAGCAATTACAGCAAGACCAATAGTTACGATAGTAGGTCACCGACGCCCAGTAACATGTCCAGCATTGAAGCAAGCCCAGCAACACTACTGGGTGTGGAGCTGCCGATATTGCAGCTTGTGGGTTCCGTACCAGGTTCACTGGATGACGCGATGTACGGTGCTCTTGGTGCGACAGTTGATGTTATGCGTGTGAAGAGTGCATATGAACGCGACAACATTACGGACGGTGCTGTGTTGGCTACAATTACAACGCCTACTACGGCCGATCCGTTCCGATCATTAACGATCAAGTGGATCGAGCAAGAAGGTCCAACGATCGACTACCATCGCTATCACTCGTTGCACTATCCTGTGACACTTCCAGGTGCAGGATCACGAGAGGATCTAATCTTTCTGGAAGCTACCGGTACAACGACGTTGTCGACAGGAGAGCGCGTTGGATTTCAACTACGCCATTCAGTACACTTCCCTCAGACTCATGTCCGACAAAACGTGCGGCGGGGGAATATGTCTACGTGCACGATTTTTCGCAATGGCGATGCCATTACGACTGAAACCCGAGGAGGTCCGTCTCGTGGATCAGTAGAAATCTTTGCTCGCGCTTGTTTAAGCGGTGGAAATGCTGCTGTTCGATCTACGACTGCCGCAATGGCAGCAACCGGTACGGTTGTTCTGTGTGGACGAATGAAGAAACTTGCGTGGATGCTCGCACAGCGCCAGCCCTCAGTTGAACCATTAATGGGGTATGTCGCACAGCAAACGAGTCTTTCTGCACTCACCCGCTCGCTCCCGCAACGCAAAGCTCGACGTGGGTCGCTTACGGTCACAATCTCCACTGCTGCCGCTGCCGCCATGTCAGTGACCGACAGCAAGTTGTGCGTGACTTGCAAAAAGCGTGGTCCCTGGTTCAGTGCGCACAGCAACAAGAAGAAACCAGCGACCACATGCCAATTGTGCTGGCGTTTCGTGTGTTCGTCTTGCCGCTCAAAGAAGACGGTTATGAACTGCATCACTGGTGCGAGACGTGACGATCGTCTCACAACGCACGTCGTACAGCGTGGAGTCACATTGTGTAATGTTTGCGTGCACCAATCGATGGTAGCAACAAGTGCTCGGGACGTGGCTCGAGAAGAGATCGAAGCTGATCCAAAGCGTTGGCGATTCCCGTCACAAGGTGACGTTCGAGAGCGCTCATCGGATAGAAATTTGCAAGCGCATTTGCTAGCGCAGTTCCTAAGCTCCACACGCGGTACAAGCGCTTTGAAACCGATATCGGTTGTTTCACTGCGCTCTGAACTAGCTGTGAATGATCTATTTGGGTGTTGTGCTTGAGGACACCTTGCTAAAACTATTATACAAATTTGTTGTGGAGATGCACGTCGACGACCGAATTGAAGGTCATGTCGAACACGAAAAAACGCGCTATCCCGGCTTGACAAACGGAGCTTTGTAGTTACGAAATAGAAGTAACACCATCGGAATATCCGACACGTTGTAATTGATTGATCCGTTCGTTATCCGCTTTGTTTTTTTTGGAAGGGGGGGGGGGGGTCTCATCTTGGTCCGTCCGACTTCAAGCGTCCATGAGTAGTAAAAAGATGGGCATCGTAGCTCTTTGCAACTCTATCAACTCGTGGCCATCAAAAGGTTTTCAGTTGCAACTTGTAAGACCGGACATAAATCTTAATTCGTTCTCGTCGACGTCGACATCATGTCGTTCGCTTTACTGGACGACGACGATGATACTTTTACCGAGGTTCTAGCGCTGTTGGACGGGTATAAAGAGGCAGTTGAAGAGACCACGCACTCGCATACTCGAGCCAAACACTCCTTTAGTTTACTGTCTGAGAGTTCGGCATGGGCCGCGTTCGAACCTGCGCATCCCATGACTCGCAACACTAGTAAACATCGCAATGGTGCACGAGAGTTACGCCGTCGAGAGGTGGAATTCTTACGAACCTGTGTCAAGGGGCTAGAGGCAGAGCTAAATGCACTGAATGAAGCGGCAGAGCAACGTGCACAACTGAGAATAGCCACTACCGGTTTCGACGACACGAATACGTCCTCGGCGTTGATGAGTGTGTGGAAAGACCTGGCAACGCGCCAATTGGACCAACGTTTGGTTTCAGAGAGAGAGAATAGACGCCTCAGGTGCGCACTGGAAGACCAGAAGAAAGTGTGTGAAATGCTGCAACGAGCTCTGAATACAAGAGTCGCACGTCGTGTAAGAATGCACTTTGAATGATGATGAAAGTAACAACCTTTAACAATTCCTTGCTGTAGGTGATGGAAACGAGTTTAGTACAAGAAAAGAGGACAAGACGCGTGCATGGCATAGCATTGCAAGTATCGGATCGGGAGATTTTTCAGGAATTGGAGGCTGGCGTGGATTCCGTGTACCATGAAGCGGCAAGAGTATTTTTTCAAGCGGATATGGAGGATGAGACGTCTCTGGGAGTATTTGGAAAAAAGACGCTGCCGTTTGATCTCCACGCGACGGCGGAAGCTGCTTGGAGGTGCCTGGCACATACGTTCCAGCATGAGAAATACACGTTTTTGTACAACAGAGAGAGACGGAAGAATGATTCGGGTGAAGTGACACATGATAACACGGTTAGGGAAATCTTTGGCGTCGAGATTCAAATCGCAGAGAGGGTTGCGGATTTCGTGATCAAACAGGTGTTTCGACGATACGTGGAGTCGGATCGTATTGTCATTGCATGGAGGTCTTACATTGACCCGACAGAGTTCAAAGGCCAGAAAATGCACTTTCGCTTCCAAGAGAAAGGATCGATGGTGATCCAACAGCTGCCGAAGCTGCAGACGCCTGGTAACAAGTTTACAATGCTGCGTATCTGGCATGTTATTATCCCGGAAACGCTAGCAAGTACGAACGATAGCAGCTCTCAGTTTTTACAGGACCTCACAGATTTTGTGCTAAACGGGTCATCGTCAGCCAGCACAGTGCAAATGATCGAAAACATGCTTCTTGAACAGTAAAACAAGGTGCAGTATGGAGTACGCTGTGTAATAAATGAGAGTGTTATCCGATGCTTTTGCACCGAAGCCTTCCGGGTGTGTAACTATCAATGCCTATACTCAACGACCGCTTCATGTTTTTGCCAAAAAAAAATTACGAGCCATGGGCAGTATCACGAGCTGACAAATACAATACTGATGTTACTCTCGGGCAGGCCCTCCCAAGCGTTGCCCCGGCCAGGATTTTATTTGAAACTCTCGGTTCATTTTTTGATCGGACCTCATTTGGAGCTAACCAACCCCACTTAAACGTACGAATACTGCAAAGACCAAGTTGTAACAATACTGTATGAATAAGAGACAACCTCTATGGATTTACACTAACAAAACAAAGCTCTAGCGATTTCATGGATTAGTTGAGCATGTTCTTGGGGTAGTGAACAAAAGCCCAAAACGACTAATTGACACTCAGTTGTGAACCAATTCCTACGTCCAAGCCGCACATGAAAAGAATGCAATACGTTATGCATTCTTTAATCAGTTTATCAGCAACTGAAGCAAGTGCTCGGCCGCAAACTTTACGAGTAATAACGCAATACAGCCGCCTGGACCTTTTGGTGTCAAACACGTGGCTTGATTAGTGCATGCTGAAGACAACAGAGACACCATTCATGGTACGAAAAAGGAGAAATGTAGATATTGTGTGCTGAAGCACAGGTGGAAATTAATTCCAGGACCAAGTGCAGCACTCATTCACGCAACCGTTCAAACAGATGACATTCAACAGCAGACAGTTGTCGAGAATATCTTGTACGTAGTCATGCAAAAACACAAAAGCTATCTGAGCAGTAGGTGCGCGGACACCAACCATTACTTATCAAGATCTGACCGTCGTCCAAGACTTGATAGTTTCTTCTGACGCTCCGTTTCTGTCTTGTCATCACTGTTCCGTCCAGCTCCTCCCATATAGTCCCCACAGATGTCTTTCTATACAGTCAGCACATACGCACATTCCAAACAACGTTCGTCTAACCTCCGAAGTTGAAGTGGAAGGTGCGGCCGCCCTGCTGGAAAGTGTGCGCATTGCTGAAGGGGTTGTGTTGCTGCTGCTGCTGCGGGTTGCCTGTGACATCCTCACCGCGATCGTACATGGCACGTGTTTCCTCATTGGATAGAATCTCGTAGGCTTGTGCAATGTCGTGAAATCGCTTTTGCACCTCCTCGCGCTCTGTTTCATCCTTGTCAGTGTGCTTATCCGGATGCCACTCAAGCGCCTGTTTGCGGTATGCCTTCTTGATCTCTTTCGCATCGGACCTGCGTGAAACACCAAGAATCTTGTAGTAATTTTTGGTTTTGCTCTGTTTCAGAGCTGCCTCGGCCTGAGCCACCTTCTCCTTGAACTCTTGGCTCGAGTCGTCCAGCTCCAAAGCGCGCTTTGCTGATCGCACAGCATCTTCGTATAGCTCAAGACCAATCTGCGCTTCGCTCAACTTTGCAAAGGCCTGTGCATTGCCGCTATCAAAGCTCACAACCTTCTCACAGGCATCACGAGCCTTGGCAAAGTGCTTGAGACGCAGCTCGCTCGTACATAACTGCAGATAGAACTCTTTGTTCATTGCAGAGTGTTCCGGATGTACTTCCAAGGCCGACTGCCACTCCTTCACAGCTTCGCCATGAGCTCCACGCTGCATGGCGTCCTCAGCACGGTTCACGTACTTGAGAACCTTTTTCAGTCTCCTGTACAGGGCCTTAATGCCCTTGTGCTCCGGATCCGAGTGCAAACCCTGACGGTAGTGCAACTGCGCTGCTTCCAGTGACTGCTTGTCTCCAAGCGAGTACAGCACTTCACCACGCATCTGCAACGCGACTAGATTGGACGGATCCAACTTGAGAACGGAACTGAGGTCCGAAATTGCATCGTACGCGTTCTGCAATGACACACTAAGTTGCGCCCGTTCCAGTAACAGTGGTACACTAGATATAGCCGAACCTTCCAGCACGTGGGTCAAGGAATCATATGCCGACTGATAGTCACCGCGACTATGAGCGCGCTCTGCTTCGTTCATGTAAGAAACACATTCTTTGCTCTTGCCCAGCTGCTCAATGCCCACTGTATCCTTTGGATACAATCTGATTTTCCAATCGAATAGTAGCCTTATCAATAAACAAACAAAAACATCGAAACAGATAAACGATAAAATCCAAAATTGTAACGTACTCAACGAGATGCTGAAAATCCTCAGAGGCCTCGACACATTGTCCCAGCATCATTAAGAGTTTGCCACGTTGTAGCATTCCCTGCTTATACTTGGGGTTCACGTTTAAAGACGACGACAAATCCGATAGAGCGTGTGTGTATTTACGCTCACTCAGATAAGCTCGGAATCGTTTGTAGAAATTGCGCTCATTTGTAGGCTCTAATTCAATGAGTTTGGACAGCAGAGAAATGGCCTAAAAACGGGTAATTTGTGAGCAAAATTAGCCTTCGTTTGGAACGTTTCTGCTAGTTTTCACTTGAAATCGCACCATCTTCATATCTCCACTGGCAAATGCATTATCTGCAGCTACGCGGGCTTTTGCAACGGTGTCACTAGTAGCCGCTACGTGCTGGATAATCATATAATCATACAGATATTAATTAGATTATTTGTGGATAAATGAAGATATCTCAACCGCTGGTGGGATGGAATCAATCAACCAGAGTTTATATAGAGATACGAGATAGAGAAACTCACGCACATTAACAGTGCAGAAAGCGCACAGAACGCCTGCGACGAGGACAAATACGCGCATTTTTTAGAGGTGTATGTAACTTTGATAGTGCAGGACGTGTTGTAACGACTGAAAAAGGCATTATATATGAGGTTTGTATACGGATGGATTTGACAAATATTGGGAACGTGCCACGTGTAAGTTTTCCATCAGTAAGATTTATCTCGAAAAATGAGTCGTAAAAAGTCGGACTGTAACGTTTTTTTATATAACTTGCATATATTATTTACAGCCATTCTGAGGATGGTACCAAAAGCGTGAAATAAAAAAGGGAGCTGCTATATTCACACCCTTCTTCCTTAAATTTACACCCTTTACAAACAAGAAATTTATATACAGATAAAAAGAGGAAATTACTAGATTGACACCATTTTCATTATGGGAATATATAAATACTAGGGTGCTCACCCGTCGTTCCGACGGACTTAATGCGCGACTCTACGCCAGTAGTATATTGACCTTTATATTATCAATTTACCTAATTATATTCGGTTGACTAAGGTGAAATGATAATATGAAGGTCGATAGAATGTTTACCTGTCGTTCCGACGTGCGAAGTAGTATAAATAGGCATCTTAAACGCAGCGATTTGCTAGGATTTTTACCCGTCGTTTCGACGGATAGGTGCGCGAATTTAACGCTGACAGTATACAGGCCCATCACTTTGCTTAGAAATTAGGTTGCCTTACGTAAATTGACAAGTATGAAAGTTATTATTGGCCGGTATAATGACCTATCACTATCTTTTATATATATCCGGTTGAGTCAGGTAATTGCTAAATATGTAGTCAATGTGTAAGAAAGTCAATGTGTACCTGTCGTTCCGAAGGTCAATGTGTACCGTCGTTTCGTCGGACATGGTGAGTGAAGTCTGCTTCATGATATTCGTACCCATCTTTTTACTTTACAATATTTGGTTGACTCGGGTACATTAATAAGTATGAATAAATACATATGGTCACTTCTCTTATGGAACTGAATCCAGTTGAACCTGATGACAACGCTTGCTTTGCCATGTTAAGTGTATTATCAAAGCACTGAACTCATGTTGGTAAAAGGAATCGAAAGCATGTGCCAAATCTAATATTTCAAAAAATGCTGTGTTTGATATAGCAATATGTAATGGTAGGTATGAAGGAAGGCTGAGAAAATGTTAAACTAGGACGCTCGGTTGATGTGTACCCATCGTTTCGTCGATATATTATACAAAAAGAAGCAAAACACCGGATGGACTATATTCTGAAATCTGCTCATGTTATTAATAATGCAAAATTAGCCAATGCAAAATCAGTCGATAATGTAAAATTAACCAATCTTAATGCCGAAAATGGAGCACTACGAACGGACAAATGGACGGACGGACTCTATTCTTCATTATGTAGAAGACTAGGGTGTTCACCAGTCGTTCCAACGGTGCGAAGTAGTATGTATAGTTATCTTAAACGCAGCTATTTGCTAGGTTTTTGCCTGTCATTTTTACAATTTAAGTACGGTAATAGTTTATTGATTGGGTATATCACGTCGTTTCGATAAAACGCTGCGTGTAACGAGCTCAATGTTTTACGTATGCGATACTTTACATGGAGGTCTAAAACGGTACGTAAGTACTTAAGACCTGTCGCTCGGGTGAGACACACCATGTGTCACATCCTTGCGTATGTGATATGCAATAAGTGTATTCACATTGATGGGGATGACGCCCAGATGGGACTAGGGGTCATCAAATGACGTCAGTCAGTTACGTCATTAAGCGAACTTAATTTTATATATAAGCTCGCACGTAGGAATACTCTTCTAAAAGAGACGCGTATCCGATCTTTACATTTAACCAATCAGTAGTTAGATTTATATTTAGTCAAAACTTATAAAATATAAGTCAGTCTTGAATCTACTAACTATTGCCCACTGCGCACGAGAAGCTTGGTAAGCTTTTGCGTGACGCAAGTAAGCTACCTTTTAGTTGTTAGTTGCGCGGAACGCTCTAAGCGGCCGACAACAGTTGGTTCGGCGCTTGAAGCGGCCGACCAGCGCAAATCCACCACACGCGGAGGTAAGACGGTATAATCGCTTCCTCGCGCTGCTTGAATGTGCGTGCCCGCATAGTACAAGGCAGCTTCTTTTCGAAGCGCCTGTCTACAACTTAAGTCACCTAGCAGGACAGTAGTGTCGGATGGCATATTCCATTTTAGGAGGCACGTAAAAAAACTTCGCGCTCAGCCCTATTGTTAGGTGCGTATACATTGAAGATG